CAGATACTCGGCGCCAGGTACCAATCAGCAGCGGGCATCAGTCGAGTTGATCTACAGGCGCTGGGGGGGGCTGCCAATGGGGACGATTGGGGCGCTCAGGGCGGTTTAGCGCTGCTGGGCTTGAAATCAGGGGGTTGCAACTGGGGGCTGCAGAGGGGGGGGGATGGGATGGGGGGCGCTTGGGACCCTTTTTTTTTCTTTTTCTTTTTTTTTCTTCGTTTCTTCTGCTCTGCTTCCCTTGTGCGGCGGTCCGAGAAATCGCCATCGCCTCCCTCCCCCTCTTCCAGCTAAAAGTACCTTTCCAGCACAGTACTAGGTAGGTATTACTACCTATCCTCCAGCAATGCGGGTGGTTGGAAACCCCTCAGAATCAGCTGCCAATGTCTGTGACCCGACAGCCAGCATTTTGCCACCGTGGCAGCGGCAAACGTCGTCGCGTGTATCTGTACCCGGCAGGGCAATGATAGGCCACTGTCTGGCTGCGGCTGGCGCCCACGCGCCCAAGTACATGTACTTGTACCGCTACCCTCCTGGGCTGGCCTGGCGGCATGCACAAGTGCCTTCTAAATGTTCTGTGTCCCCAGTCGCTGCATGTTTCACGACGGCCAGAAGGGGCGCTACGCCCGGAGTGGCTAGAGGGCAGCTGGAGCTACGAGACGTGGGAAATTGATCATCAATGCCTCTTTTGCTCTTGTCGTGCCATTCTTCATACGACAAGTACATGCATTACAAGCATTGCTGGCGGACAGGTATTAACAAGCATGCATCGGACGGGAACTATTGGAGCTGGGGAAGAAGCCGTTCGTTTGGTTCGATGATGGCGATACGACAGCCGCTGCCGATGTGCGCCAGCGGAGGCACTCGTCCGTTGGCTAGAGCGGCCGAGGGTGTTGGTTTTGGTGAACCATCTCCAGTCCTCAACACTCAGAGCTGCTACTGGTTCGTTGACCACACCACCAACAGACGATGCTCAGCAGCCTCTGCCAAACAGACTGCGCCAAACGACCATTTGAAGCAGCAAAGCGTGTTTCGCTTCCCTCTTACATGCCTCTTGCCGCTGTTTCAGTCGCACGAGCCGGCGGCTGCTGGACCAACAAGACCACGCGAGGTTGCATCGCGTCTGCTGCTGGCACGGCCCCGAGTCTCAGCACCGCCCACGCGGCCGTCCCCCATTGTCACCTACACGAGGCAGGAGCCGTGCATTTGGGCTGCGATAAAACGGACTGCTTGTGATGTTCATCCCTGATAGGAATGAAGCGGCCCCTTACAAGACTCGGTATCTCATGATGGGTGCGGGTAGGCGCGGTGGCTAGCGGCCGGCTCTTGGGGGTTGCAATCAACCTGTTGCAACTATGCCGACTGTTTCCCCCAAGCCACACGCAGCACCTTCATCATTGCCCGGTCGGTTCTGTACGAGTACCCTTGCTGCCATGTGTCACAAAGTGCATACTACTCCATACACGTAAGTGAGTACCTACTATACAGGCATACTGTACGCATCATTGTCATGCGGTTGAGCAGCTATCGGCGGACAGAGCACCGGGGTAGCAAGGCGTTAAGCCATCCATTGCCGACTTTCCTCTACTCGCTGCTGGAGGCTTGCGATGCTTCACATACGACACCACATAGGCAAGGGTGAAAAGCAAAAGAAAGCCCCTTCGCGCCACAGACGCCGAAGAACCTGGGGACAATGGACAGTTCAGATGATGGCAAAGACGATACTCGAAGCAGGCAGACAAAGCCAACTTGATTCGACGTTGGGTGCTGCGAAGTGCTGAATAGGTAATAAGAGGAGAGAAACCACGGTAGAAAAGGAGACGTGCCGTCTTACAGTACGTACCGCCAACTTCAAGCACACACGCAAAATTCTGCTCGGAGAAATAAGGTAGGGCAGACCCTTGGCAGTACCATTTAAGAGCTTGTCACTATTCACTTTTCATGCTGCTCCAGGGACGTGGTATTTTGGAAGTAGTACCTAGTATTCCTTTGCAAGCCATGCCTTGACACACGCTTAAAAGGAACAAGACCAGTTCCAGGTTGTTTATCAGGTACCCTAGCAGGTTGGGAGCGAACGGACTGGGTCTGTTGGAACAGGCACCTTAGGTACCTACAGAATGAAGAATGCTTCTTCTCTCAACCGAGCAAGTAATACGCGTACATGATTCAGGCTTTCGGACGAAGATAGGTAGGTACTAGGTAGCCAAGTCTGAGTGCACTGATGTGTTGCCTACCCCAGACCAAGCATCATCAGCCTCCTCTCAGCACACGACAATCGACACAAGGTAAGCTGGTCAACCATTGATGTCTACTACAATTAGGTAGCTGCACTTAGTCCCTCCTCGTATGATGGCCAAGGATCCTTCTCCGTAGGTACAGTAATCTGGTCACATGCGTGATGCCATTTGTGGACTCGCAAACAAATTCTTACGTCTGCAGTGGCGCCATCATGGGCTTTGATTCCTGGCGACGGCGGTGAACGACCAGACGACTACGAGTTATCGTATAAGCTTATTCACCGTCACAAACAAACTGCCCAGCCACCCCGTTTTCGGCCGGTTTGGATGCCATGAATGAGCTGAAAGACCGGTGACTAACGTCCATCAACGTGTTCTAGATCCCAGGACGCAGCCAATGGCTGCAGGACGCAAGACAAGGGAACAAGAGAAGGAAGAAGGATAAATAGCCAGAGGCAGCCCCGGTGAAGAGCTGAATCCAGGGGTGCGGATTAGGTGCAACAACACCACACTCTGGCGCATGTGCTGTAGGGCTGAGCTGCATCGACCACATGAAGCTAAGCTTTTAGGACTGTGGCCGTCAATGCGACCCGGCGATGGAGAGGCGCGTGTCCAGAGCGTTTCTCCCAGCAAGACTGTGACATGAGCCGAGCCGTCGTTAGTACGGTGAGGCCGATCATTCAAACGGAGTGTTCTGAACTAGTAATTGTTCAACCATTTGGACAGGCATGGAAGAGGCAGGCTTGATGTTGGTGGTGGCTTAGCCCTTCATACCAGATGGACGAGATGCATGTGGTTTGTTCCGTGGCTGGACTCTGTGAGCTGAACTCGTAGCGTGCATCGGCGTCAGGTAGAAACGCAGGCTTTCCGAGGAAAAGTCGCCGGTATGTCTAATCCGCTAGAAGATATCTGACCGTTGCGAGCCTGGTTATATCATCACCATTATCTATCTACGTAGTATTGCAAAGACAAGAGCTGTGCATATGCCCAGCGAGGATCAAGTGCATCTCGGTGGGTTATGGAGCACGTCTGATTAGGCAGTTGATTTGTGAGCTGTGGAGAAGATTCGGCAGCTCATCCGCCAGAAGGGCAGATCAAGTGCCGAGACTTGTTGGTATGTAATAATCAAGACGTTCCGAGCCCGAGATACTTGACAACCAAAAAGCAGCTGTGACGTGCTCACCGAGATGTGATGTCGCGAGTGTGGCAAAGTGGCATGGAGATGCTCCAGCTGGATTACGTGAATCACTTGCCGCTCGGACAAGTCGAGTCGAGATACTTGGTACAGTACATACATGTGCTATCAGCCAGCTGCGAAACACGGATATTCATCCCTCGATGAACTTCTCCCGCAGTTGCACTGCTCTGCTTTCCATGTCGATACTGTCCAGCGCATGTGCCGTGCGATTCCTTGGCCGTAAACAGCAGCACCGAGCCCCTGGATCCATCTCACCTGCAATCAGCACACGCATCAGCGCTAGAAGCGGCGTGATGACGGTAGTAACAAGATGACAATGTTCGAAAGCATCCTAGCCTTCAGCCTCTCCAGCATCGTCCGTCTTGCCCAACCTAAGCATTCAGCAGTGTGATTGATGGTTGAAATCCACCGCAACATCATCATGGGCTTCCGCTTCCAGGTTTCTGTTGTTGTTGCCCATCCATCCTGCATGTTGATTGATGATACCTTAGTCTAGCGCCCGCCTCTCAGCTGGAGCACTAGAGCGGACGCACCAGCCGGACGCCGCCATCATGGCTCGGCGCCAGCTGTCGACGCAGTCAATACCTCGCCAGTACTGGCCGTCCTCTGCCGTCCAGCGCGCAATCTCCAGTATCCTGCCGGTACCCCCAGCCTGCTGTAGCGCCGCTGAATCAAGGAACCCCCGCCCCCCCAAGCGGCGCCACGGCACTTGCACCAGCGCCCAGGTGGCATCGGGCCTCTAACCACCTACATACCCGACAGCACCCAACCCACCCGCTGAAGCACTGGAGCCAGTGGAGGACAGCACTGAGACCCAGTTGAGTGCATCCATGGATCCCCGCCGCTCGGGAGCCTCCCAGGGCTCTGCTGGACTCCAGCTGGGCCTCGATGCAACCTGGGCGCTGGCACCTCGCATGCAACCCGGAACTGCTTCCAGCCCAGGCTGCAGCGCGACGATTCGCCTCGACTGCTCCGTTTGCCTCGTCGACCGTCTGCCGTCCCGTGTCTTGCCTGCTTTGCCTGCTGCTTGCCTTGCTTTGACTGCTTGTCTGCCACTGGACGGCCACATCGCCACTGCTCACCAATCCGCGCCCCCCGTCTGCCCTCGCCATTGGCACCCGAATCTCCCCCCCCGGCAGCCGGACCTCTCGATATGGGAGTTTGCGCGGCCGTCTGGCTCTCAGCGCTTTGCAATCCCTCAGCCGTGTCGAGCGACAACCGACCTCGAGGCACCCGGCCGTGACAGCTTCACTTGACCTCTCCCCGTGGGCGAGGCTGAGCCCCGACTGTGTACATGTCGCGAGACAACCTGCCCGCCGCCATGGGCCCCTTCTCGCCTGCCCACCAGCCTGACGAGGGCTACTCCGAGGATCCTCTGGGCACCACTGGCCTGGCCGACCAGCTGTCTACGCTGGCGTCGCTCAAGTCGCCCCTCGAGCTGCCGCAGTGGCTTGCTGCAAACGCCTCCATGCTCCCGGTGTCCGTCAAGTCAAGTGAGTTTACCTGTTGAATTTCTGGCTGCATGTGCCTTGCGCTGCTTGCTTGTGAGCTTCACCCCCTCCTGACTCGCCGTTGCTGCAGAACTCGCCATGACGTTGCTGGACCAACTTCCCACCTCCGCCATCGTCGAGATCGTCGAGCGCCTGAGCCCGCGACTCTACATCGACTTCATCCGACACCTCCCCGCCGAAATCTGCCTCAAGATCCTGGGCTACCTCGACCCCGTCTCCCTCGTCAGCGTGCTGCAGACCTGCCGAGCGTGGTACGACCTCGCCGTGGATCGCAAACTATGGGAGCGGCTATACTATCTTGAAGGCTGGAAGGCCGTGCAGACCGAGATCGATGCGTGGGAGGTCAGGGTCAACACGGGCGTCAGCAACTCGATAGGGCATCTGCATAGGATGCAGACGTCGGACCATCACCCAAACAAGATCCGGGCCATACTCAACAACGACGATGATGACGAGGACATGGAGATGATAGATCAGGACAGGCTTCCCAGCATCGTCGACAGCAGCGCCGCGTCCAGCATCTTTGGAACCCCCAACGCGCTGCAGTCGCCGAGACAGATGCTGCCTTCTCTGGGAGACATGCACTTGGACAGCTTCACATCGGCCAAGGGCAAGGCTGTGGATTGGAGCCACGGGCCGTCGTCGTCCTCCGCGTCGGAGAGCAGGGCCAAGCGCAAGGAGCCCGGCGGCACCCCCGAGATGTCGCTGCCATCCATCGAGGCGGGCGACACCACGGCGTCCATGATCAAGTCGACGCTCTGGACGTGGGACATCAACAGCTCGCGATATCGCATCAACTGGAAGTATCTCTACAACATGAGACGACGGCTCGAGTCCAACTGGGAGCTGGGCAAGTATAAGACGTTTGTGCTGCCGCATCCCAGCTATCCCGAGGAGGGCCACCAGGAATGCGTCTACACGCTGCAGTTTGACGCAAACTACCTCGTCAGCGGCAGCCGGGACCGCACCATGAGAATCTGGAACATGCACACGCGCCGCTTGGTCCGCCCACCGCTGACGGGTCATGCGGGATCCGTCCTGTGCCTCCAGTTCGACGCTGATCCGGCCGAGGACATTCTGGTCTCGGGCAGCAGCGACTCCAACGTCTTCATCTGGAAGTTCTCCACGGGAGAGCTGGTGCAGCGCATTACAAACGCCCACCGCGAGTCCGTCCTTAACGTCCGCTTCGACAAGCGCGTCCTTGTCACGTCTTCCAAGGACAAGACCATCAAGATCTTCAACCGCCGGCCGCTGCGATACGGCGACTTGGGCTACGGCCCCGTGGATGCAGCCGTCAACCCCGTCGGTCTGAGCGTCAAGCCTTATGGTTACGAGCCTGATCTCTCCCAGGAGCTGCCCGTCAAGCCCCCCTACACTGTCATTGGCAAATTGGAGGGACACGGCGCTGCCGTCAACGCCATCCAGATTCGGGGCAACACCATCGTGTCCGTCTCTGGCGATCGCCACATCAAGGTATGGAACTGGCCAGAACAGGTCTGCACGCAAACCATCCCTGCGCACGAAAAGGGCATTGCCTGCGTCGAGTTTGACGAGCGCCGAATTGTCAGCGGTAGTAGTGACTACGAGGTCTGCATCTTCGACGCGCCGACCGGCCTCAAGGTGGCCTCTCTCCGGGGCCACGCCCATCTCGTGCGAACGGTGCAGGCTGGCTTTGGCGATTTGCCGTACAGCAAGGAGGAGGACGCAGCAGAGGCCAAGCGCGTGGACGCCGAGTACTTTAGAGCCGTCGAGGCGGGCGAGATTGACCACGAGGGCGACCGAAGGCTCCGTCGCTCAAGGAGAGTGAACGCGGGAAGCTCTCGGCCGGCCGATGTCCAGGCCACGGGTGCCAAGGTCCCGCCGGGAGGAGGCGGCGGCCGCAAGTATGGGCGCATCGTGTCCGGCTCGTATGACCAGAGCATCATCATCTGGCGCCGCGACAAGGAGGGCGTGTGGAAGCCGGCTCATCACCTGCGCCAGGAAGAGGCGGCCGAGGCGGCACACCGACAAGCCGCCCTGACCAACAGCCAGCGGCAGGGCACCCAGCTCGCCTCGGCGGCCATTGCTGTGTCGGCCGTGCATCCCGGGGCGCCGCAGGGCATGCAGTCGTCGCCGATCAGAGACCCCAGTAGCGAGAATAGCCAGATGGCGCGCATCTACATGGCCATGATCGACTCGGTTGTGCCCGTTGGCGTTGCGGCCCTGAGACAGGCGTTGGCGAACCACCCGTCGATGCTTATCTACCACAGTTACCTGCAGGCCGCGATCGAGCGGGAGCCGTCGCCGTTTGTCCGAGCACACCTCAGACAGGTGGTGGCGGATGGCCTGATTGCGATCCAGAACAATCAGTCAGCTAGACAACGGCTCATTGCTCGCGGCAATTCCCACATCCAGGGCCCTGTCGCCGCAGCGCCTCACCTGCTGCCTGGATACGCGGGCGGTGCAATGGCAGGCTCCTCCTCCGCAGCGGCGGCGGCCGACGGTAGTGGGAGCGATCCGCGACACATGGCTTATCCTCCAGCTCTGGGACCTCAGGCTCAGGCATCCATTTCCCTTCACGCCCCGTTGCCCCAGCCATCGCAGCTCTCCATTTCACCCGGCCAAGGACCCCCGCCTCAGCTGCCGCCCATTCTCCAACCTGAGCTCCCTGGACAAAACCCTCACGTCCAGCAAGGGGCGACGGCTGAGTTGGCAGACGCAACACCAGCTCCTGAGCAGCATCCGCGGATATTAGCGCCCGATAACCCCCCGGCCCGCGTCTTCAAGCTCCAGTTCGATGCGCGCAAGATCATCTGCTGCAGCCAGGCGCCAGTCATTGTGGGATGGGACTTTTGCAACGGTGACCCTGAGCTCGAGGAGGTGGCTCGCTTCTTTGCGGCGATTGATTGAGAGACACGTGAGGTATCGTTGAGATGACACTAACACACCTGGCGGCTATACATGTTCGATGCCCCCAAAGGCAATGTGTTGTTGGGTCTTGGAAGGAGTTTGGGAGGGGGCGCAGCAAAGATTTTGGCATCGGCATTGGATTTCTTACTTGGCGCATTGAAAAGAACAAACAAGAAAAAAAAAACAAGAAACAGGCAATGGCATCACTGCAATGAGCATTCCCGGCATTCCGACGGTTGTCCCGGCGTTTGTACCATGTTGTAATAAACCTGAATGAGTGGACAGTTTCGTTACGAACAAGGGCTTGGGTCTAGGTAGATGATAGTAGATATCTCCTTGTTCGATATCTTAACAAGCAAACAAGCACAAGAAAATCACGATTGTATATGATGGAATGTGGGAATTGTTCGCCTTGCGTTCAACTAAATGAAGGTCAATTCTAGCAACATTGGTAGGTAGGGTAGGTGAGCTGGAGGCATACATAAGTCTTGCGCCTGTGATATGTCGCCTCAAAGGCACATGCATATATTTATAAGTGAGAACCGGGCCAACATATACTCCAATACAACAAGGAAAAACAGTGTCTTGTATCATATAATCATGCAAGATAAAAAAAGGTGGGCAAAATCGTCTCATCAGATATGCAAATCTAACCCGCAGCCTGCTTCACCTTCTCCTCCGTCTGCGGCGGCTCGTCAACAAACTCGGGCACGACCTCGTCCTGCAAGAAGCCCGGCACAGCACCGCTGCCATACTCCTGCTCCAGCTCGGCCTCCATGCCCAGGGCCTCGAGCTCGGCATCGAGCTCGGCCTCGTCGACCTCGTCGGGGATATCGTACCCCCTGGCCAGGCTCTCCTGGATCTCGTTGCCAACGTCCAGCAGGTCCGCCATCTCGTCCTGCAGGCGCTCAATCTTGTCAATGTCAATCTTGCCGTACTGCTTGCGCAGCTCCTTGTTGGTCGTCTTCATGGCGTCGACCTGGGTCATGACGTTCTTGAGGTTGTCCTGCATGGTCTGCGCCTGCTCCATGTTCCAGACCTGAGCCTCGAGCTTGTCCTTTTCGGCCTCGTAGGCCTTGCGCCGCTGGAGCACCTTGAGGGCCTTTTGCTTGATGGCCTGCTTGCCGGGGCCGTCGCGCATCTTGGAGAGCTTCTCCTGGTAGGCGGAGAGCTCGCCGTTGAGGGCCTTGAGCTTGGTGTCGATGGAGGCGATGCGGGTGTCGATGTTGGTGATGGCGCCGGTGAGGGTGGGTTTGGGGCCCGAGGGCTTGGAGCCGAAGAGGCGGTTCATTTTTTTTTCTTCTTCTTGCTTTTTGTTATATGAATCCCTCCTATTTACTTGGTATGGGAGTGTCGGCGGTTATCGGTGGGAAAAGGGGGGAGGCGAGATGGCGAGGCTGACGATGGGAATGCGATGCGATGGTAGGTGGGCGACGCTGAGGGGATGACGTTGGGACCGTGACAGTGACAGTGACGAGGCTTTGGGAGGGAGGGATTTAGAGGCCCCACTGGCGCATTTCTGCAAGGCTGAGCTTGGGCCAGAGCGCGTGATAAGTCAGCAGAACTTATATAGATGGCCTCGGATATTGTATGAAAAGACACCACAAGCTGCTTCCAATTACTTTATGGAGACTCAGTGCTAATGCCAAGGCAAAGAGCCTCATGGCTGCGAGCACTTCATCTACGTCATACATCTTGTTTGATATGTGCACAGATAGTATTTGCAAGACGTTTGTTTCACTGCATGTCTCATTACATGTACCCTTTGCACGCCAGCTCGCTGTAAATTTGGAGCACAGAGCGGGATCTACAGCTAGTCGCCGAAGCAAAAAATAGCAGCATCAGCTCGTCCATCCGCTGCTAGGTATCTGATGGGCATTGTGTATGTATATCCTACACAGAAATGGAGAAAAAGAGCATTTCGACCTAGGCATTGAGTCCTCGGTTCATCGTCTTCTCACCTACCTATTGTTGTCATATCATGTCGGGCTGTGTCAAACTCACTTCTTCTTCACTTTACGCGTCACGCTTTGATGAACAAATGCCCCTTCCACTGTATTCACTGCCCCATTAGGCCTAGCCACGCCCCGCGCTTACCTGTTCGGGCCCAAAGTAAACAATCTTCGAGCTTCCCCATCCCGAAATTTGGCAGTTTGAAGCTCGAGCCGCGCTTTACGCATGCACATGAAGGCACGCGACTCCAATTCCGCAGTCTTCCACTGAACGCGTCCGCGTGGGGTGACGGTCAATTCACTTGAGCTTTCGATTTGATCTTTTTTGAATTGAATACCCATTCATTACCTGTTTCCCTGCCCATGTCCCGCTAACCTCCCACTCCTCCCACCTTTCTTCCACCTCTCCAGCATTCCGCCCTTCTCAAACCACGGATTCCTCCCAGCTTTCCTTCTCGAACCGTGGCACCAGAAGACCAGCCGTTCTGCGCAATGGACGGCACGACAAGCCCCCGATGGGGAAGCGGGCACAGGCCCGGATCAAGGTAAGACGCCGCCTCGACCTGCGCTGCGGTATCGCGACTGGCGGCGCGGGACGACCTCTGGAACCGGATCGTGGGCTAATGAGTCGCGCAGCAGCAACTCTCTACCAGCGTCGTTTGTGACGTATTTCCCAGTGGCCCAGGAGGCCGAGACAACAGCGTACGTGGGCTCTTCGGTCTCTCTTCAAGCGACGATTTCCCTTCCTTGCCATCACGACGACAATTGCTGACGTTGCTTTCTGGAGGGACAGTTCGTGGGCAGACATGCTGGGCGCCCCAAAGCCCGCCACGATTCCGCGCGCCTGGTGCCGCGTCCCTGTCGCCGCCGGCCCTGCGGCTCTTCGCAAGGGCGCCACCATCATGAAGCGGGTCGGCCGGTCCGCTGATATGCGCGTGGTGAGGCAGCAGCAGGCGATGGCAGCCCAGGTCGCTGCGCAGACCGAGGTCGTCCCAGAGCTCGACCAGACAGAGCCGGCGAGCCGTCGTCGCCTCAACTCGTTTGTGCCGCCGGCAGAGGACGCCGTGTTGGAGCTGAGCGGAGAGCCTCTCTCGAGAGCAGAGATGGCCAGCACTATCATGCGCGCCAAGGGTATGTTTTCTGTTTCTGCTGTCCGACTTGAGCTGGCCTTGGCTAACCATTTGCTGCAGTGGACGTCGCAAACTGCTTCCTGCACGAGGAGTACACCGACCTGTCAGACCAGAGAAGCCTCTCCAAGAAGAGCACATATTCCAGAAAGGTCGTCCCTTTGAAGCGACGTTTCGTCGATTATTCTTCACTCAAGTTCGAGTACGCCAGCGGTGGAAATGGCGGCACTATCTACAGCGAGCTTCATCCCATCCTCTCCAAGGCTGTCCAGACCGGCGTCAAGGAAATCGACGTCAACATGGCATCCATCACAGAGGCTGGAGTCCACCTGCGATCAATTCGCCGCCGCAACCCCCGAGTCCTCCTCGCTGCCAGCGGCATCCCCGAACTATCAGACATTGCCGACGCTACCGAGTCGAGCATCCTCACTCTGGAACCCAACGAATCCATGTCAGACGCCAAGTCGCCCACGAAGCGCGCTTCTACTCAGTCTCCCAGCCCTACCAAGAGCAACAAGAGCTTCCGCAAGAGGCTCAGCGACACGATTGTTCGGCTGCTGCCCGGTTCTGCCTCACGTGCCGAGCCCTCTCCCTCTCCCATCAAGCCGGCTTCTCCCCCGCCACCCAGCAGGGACGGTTCGCCCCGCCAAAGGACACCCTCGATTACGATTCCAAAGAGCCCCAGTGCCCGCAAATCGTCTTCCCCCGTGTCGGCAAACTCTACTCCTGGAATCATCCGCTGGACCACCAAGTCACCCAAGGAGTCACCCTTCTCTCGCTGGCGACCCAAGCGCAAGTCAGAGCCAACGCCTGCTCTCGCGCCACTGTCTTCTCCTTCTCGCGAAGAGCCCGACCCGTCCTTCTCCGATATTTCGATGGTCGACAGCTCCATCATGGCAGGATCTCCCCTCCTCTACTCTCGCCCCAGGGCCCCTACTCCTTCTAAGTGGAGCGGTTTGAGGCCTTCGACTCCTGGCCGAGCGTCCTCTCCTGCCGCCTTTACTACGCCTCTTGATGAAAGAGCCTCTTTAGACTTGGTCAGGTCGCTGCCCGAGTGGATGCAGCATAGCCAGTCATCGTCCACTGTCAGACCATACGACCCTGCGCACATTGATTTCCAACCCGCCTCTCCCTCCTTTAGCGGTTCTGTGCCGTGGGTTAACAACCCGGCCGACGCACCTGAGAGTGAGCGCACCAGTATTGTCAGGCGGCGCAAGAGTGAGCCACTGTTTAGGAACATGCTCAAGTCACAGAACGCGCGCCGAATCTCATTCTCACCTCAAAAGTCTTTCATAGCTCAAGAGTCGAGTGGAATCCTGCCCACCATCGAAGAGCCCGCCTCCCCCAGTCGAGACATCCGCTCCCCGTCGCCCGAGCATTCTCAAGCTTCTGTATACTTCAGTGCCTCTTCTGCTCAGACCAACCCTCTCCATAACGCCGCGTCTGAATGCACCGACCCTGAACAAGCCGAAGACATGGATCTCAGCGACCTCTCCCGTCAGTACACGAGGAGGATGCAGGAGACTTGCACGCGGCTGGCTGCTCCCCAAGGTGAGGATAACGTCTTCGTCGAGGATATGCACCGCCCTGAAAGCATCTTTGGCGCTCCGGCTATCGTGACTCCTGCTGGCGCAATCAAGCAGCTTTCCAGCCTGGCACAGAACGCATGCCACGGCAACGCCGGCGTCAAGGTTGTCGAGTCTGATGGGCGCCTCTGGGTTCGGTTTAAGCTGCCGCCCAGCTACGCCCACCTGTTTCCCAAGAACCAATTGGACGAGTCGTCGCCATCTGAAATGGCACCGTCGGCACCCGATGCCACTGCTTACCGCTTCGTCAAGAAATACCCGCACGATGAGGAACCTGGTGTCCAAGCCAATGACGAGACGCTTGTTGTTTCCGACTTCAGCGTGTCCTCTGCTCAGCCAGCCTCGTCGCCGCCCGTTCCTGACAACGACGAAAACGTGGATCCTCGTGCCCGAGCCAACGACGAGACTCTTATTGTTTCCGACTTCGACACTTCTTCCGCCAGGCCGGCCGAGTCATCTCCCTCAAAGAACGAAGAAGGCAGCCCTACCACTCCCGGCTACACGGAGGCGTCTCCGGCAAAGGCCTCCCAGTCTGTCCATGGTTGGGACAGTTCCTCCTCTCTCTCCGAGCTGGAGCGAACGCCCGACCTGGACAAGGCCGCCGAGTCAAGGATCGCCAGCATGGTCGCTGCCGTCCACTCCACCGCCGCACCCACTCTCAGTTCCTCTTTCACCCCGGTGAACCAGACCAGTGCTCACACGGGCTCGTCGGGCAGCGCGAACCGTGGCACAGAGTCCGAGGCCAATGTCCGCAATCACGACTCTCCGGAGCGTGATTACCTGCGCGACTTCATCAGACGTTCGCGACCCCGGTCGCGACGTCCCTCATCAACTGAGAGCGGCTCCCCCGTCGCCCCGGCGCAGCGCCTTCCTCTTGGAGCTAGGAGCCCTAACATGGAGCCTCAGCAAAAAGAGAAGCGCAAGCTCGACAGCAGCGAAGGAGATGAGAACGAGTTTCAGAGCAGTGCTGAGCCTCCCACCAAGAGGGTTCGCACTGCTCCTCGATCCTCTCCGCGAAAGTCGACTGTTCCCGCCAACAGCCAGTCCGACGACGAGGACCCCCTCGCGAAGGATCAGGCCGCGGCACAAGCGAAGACGGTCGAGAACGTGGACGCGCTGGCAAACGCTGTCGAGCCTCAAGAGGTTCCAGCCGCTGCCGCCGCTGCATCTCGCCGGTCGACCCGCTTGAGGAACAGGCCGAGCGCGATCCCCAAATCCTCGATCCCGGCCCCGGTCAAGGTGGGCCGCGGACGTCCCCCTACAGGCGCAACGCCGGGCTCGGTGCGCACCGAGCAGCAGGACTTGGTCCACCAAACCCGGGCCAACACTCGCCGCAACAAGGGGAACGCGGAGTACCCGGCCCAGTTCCTGGCCAGGCTCTCCGAAGAGGACGAGGGCGGGGACGGAGAGCTGGTGGCTGGCCAGCAGGACGAAGCCGAGGCCTCGACAGCACGGCGCGGTAAGAGCGTCGTCTGGAAGGAGCCTCTGGCGGACTTCCAGGAGGAGGAGAAGCCCAAGAGGGGGCGGGGAGCGGCGGCTGCGGCGAAAGCCCAGCCGGCCAGCAGCCGGGTGTCAAAGCCCGCGCCCAAACCCTCGGCGGCGACTCAGAGGCAGCGGTCGTCGAGACTGGCTGCGGGCCTAGGCATGGTCGGGAACGGGACGCCGGCCCCGAAGCGCGCCACGCGCGCGTCGACACGGAGTCAGAAGTGATGGTCGAGCCGTACGGTTCCCAGTGGTTGAGCCGCAAGGTTCCCGCTGGTTGAGCTGTGCGGATCCCATCGCTTCTGACGAAGTGAAGACGGGGTCTGGCAGGGAGTTTCTTTACTTTCTTTCCTTCTTTTTTTTCTTTCAAATTCTGCATCGCGAGGGCGTTACCGGAAAGATACCCAGGGACGCGTTGTTTGTTTTTTTTGGGGGAGGAGGTCGGCCGAAGGGCCATTGGTCTTTGTTCTTGTGTGTCTTGTTGGTGTTTTTGGAGTTTTGGACAAGGGATGGGGTATGGATCATTGGCAGTAGGAAGAATTCGCTGCGTGTTTGAGTCTTGAATTGAGTGTGACGGTCTGCTCCTTACTTTGCATTGGGCGTTGCATTGTGATACGACGTGTTAGTCGCTGTGTGTGCTACGGGAATTGCAGGACTGGAGTGATATGGTGGGCTACATGTACCGGGCGTTATGCATCAATTTGGTCAGGCGAGTATTGCCTGTACAAGTAAGCATCTCCCCCGCTTCTCGAATGCTGGGCGTTGATGGGGATGGCTTCTACTAACTTCTGACGACAGACTGACTCTTACATAAAGGCGCGTGAATGCTGATTTGATTCCCGACTTGTCACAACACACATCAAGCCAATAAGCGAAGCCATAATCCATCCAAGACAAGAATTAGAGAAAAGGGGGCATCGCATATCAGCCATGGCTACAGAAGCAATTCCGACAACACAGCTCCGGCTCGCCTCACCCAACGGCATCGTCACGCGAACCATTCTCAAGACTCCGCTTCGCGACGCGCTCCCGTCCGAGATGCCCATTATTGACATTTCACCTACGTTCAGCCCGTCTCTAGAAGAGCGAAAGGCCGTAGCGCAACAAGTGCGTGCAGCGGCGCAGAACATGGGCTTCTTCTACATCAAGAACCACGGCATCCCGGCGGACGTGACGAGAGATGCGTACGAGGCCTGCCTGGCGTTTTTCCGACAGGACAAGGATATCAAGATGAGGGCTGATTCGAGGAAAGCCAAGTGGGAGAATGGATATAGAGCGCCAAATACGCAGCGCTTGAATCCTTATGAGGGGATCGATGTGCGAGAGAGCTTTTCGTATCGGTACGATCCCCGATACGACGATACCGTTGGGGAACAGGGACTGGGTGAGATTCCGGAAGAGGTGAGGCGGTATCTACGATGCGAGGAGTATCCGTGGGAGAAGACGCGGAATCTGCCGCAGCTGAAGGAGAGCTTGACGAGGCATATCGGGGAGTGCTTGAGGCTGGCGAGGGCGCTGACGAGGTGTTTTGCTTTGGGGCTGGGACTGGATGAGGGTTGTTTTGATGGGAAGGTGAGGTATCCCGATGCGTCGTATGGGTTGAATTACTATCCTCCCCTTGAGCGGCGCACGGGCGATGCAGCCGATAATGGTGAGGACGATGATGATGATGATGATACTACGGAGGACGACGGGGTGCAAGAGAGGGTGTCGATTGGGTCGCATACGGACTTTCAGTTGTTTACAATCTTATGGCAGGATTCACAGGGCGGGCTAGAGGTTCTCAACAAGCAGGGCCAGTGGCTGCGGGCGCGGCCGATGGAGGGCACGCTGGTGGTGAATCTGGGGGACTTGATGCAGCGGATTACGAATGACGAGTATGTGAGCACTGTCCATCGGGCGAGGAACCGGAGCGGGAGGGAGAGGGTTAGCATTCCGTTTTTCTGGGGGTTTGGGTTGCATGAGACGTGTGGTGTTGTTGTTGGCGGGGAGGGGGAGAAGAGGTATGGGGATGTGAGGTGTGAGGAGTGGGTTGCGAGGAGGATTCGGGACATGAAGAGCGTTGGGGATATGATTTGATTGAGTGAGTGAGTGAGTGAGTGGTGATGCATAGGAGCATAGAGAGGAGGGCTGGAGAGAGAGGAGTGCGTGCCCCTAGCTGGTTGATGGGTGACGACTTGAGATGACATGACATGGGCATTGATCATGGGAATTGAGAATGTGAGGCGAAAATGCCATGAGACAGACTCAAGCATGACGTCTGAGCCGTGTTGAAAAAAGAAAAGGGCAATGCAGTTGTAGTGTGTGTTGATACGTATGTGAGCATCTCGATCGGGAGATGTGCAAAATCCAGGAGGAATCGAAAGAAACAGGTTTGCGTCATTCAAGGTGCAGTCGGAGTTCCGGGGGGAGTGACGATACGCATACGGAAGGACTGGCTGGCTATAGATGGGTAGATAGAGAGAAAGCCATCGCCCCCTTGCGAGAATGTCTTTGATTCATTCACGAGGTGTGTAATTGGGTGGTTATTCCAAGGTAGTTGTACATATGTGAAGAATTTGAGGGCGAATCATATGAGATTAGAGACGGATCTGGGAATAGTATCCAGCTTCCGGGCTGAGGCGGGAATGACGTCATGACGTCACTGATTTACGCGGCCCCTGCAGGCGAATGACAGACATGGGATGAGAGACGTCACTTACTGATCGGGGGCTCGGGGGTTTGAGCCGAGGATTTGCTGAAGAGGAGCATGAACTGGGAAATCTGGAATGGAGGAATGGAAAATAAACAGGTTCAGAAGATGGAAAAACGGTTGATGGAGGCAATGGGGGGTTTTGCTGTAAAAGGACGCCCCGGGGGTGAGGATTTGTTTTGCTTTGGGCTCTGACTGATTAGCTATGTTTTGGATTCATCTAATTTGCATGCTGGCATAGCTTCCAAGTGGGTATAGGAAAAATAGGGAATCTTCGAATTATCAGCACACAGAAGCTCTCAATACGCACACATAACAGGCGCTGATCTGCGTGTTATGTGTGCTTATATCATCCTTATGTGTGCACATATTTATTTTGCGGTCCCTATTATTTCCATACCCGCTTGGCTTCATACTCGCCGAAATACGCAATTCAAGAGGCAAGGGTTATAGACTATAGACAATGTCTGCAGAGTTGATGATGTCATTGTTGGAAATGCCTGTTTGACTGACTGGTGGTGAAATCTTGTGTTTGGGCTTTTGTGGGGGGGGGAATTGCTTTAAGCTTGGGAGCATGAAGGAATTAGTGGAAGACAGAAGTACATACATACCTTATGTGAGAGGCCTACCGTTTTAAACTGGCTGCTGAATCAGGAGGGACATTTGCTGGCTATGGATTTGCGATGGGATCTCGATTCTGTCAAGTCGGGGGTTTTTCAGGGTAGAATGCAGTGAAAAGGAGTGTCTTGTGCGATGGGTAGAAGCGGCATGTGAGGATAATAACACCTATGACAAGGCATCCCGTGACTGCGGCATTGTTTTGCCCTGGGAATCTGGATGGGGTATGCGGGATCTGCGTCGACTGCCGTTGCGCCGCTTGGATGCGGTTGCGTTCGGATTGTTGTCGAGCTTGATGCATTTGAGATGCCTAGTAATTGCGCTTGAGATGGAGGCGCGTGGGCTTGTGCTGCTTTGTTCGCATGACTGGGACTGTGCGAAGAGGTGCCGGGTTGAGTCAGGCTGAGAGCAGTACCTTGGATAGGCATGAGACAGATGATGTGTGTAAGTTGGAGTCGCACCGCACGGTTGAGCGGGCTTGAGATCAGTTGTTACATACCTGTTAGGGCGGGCGACCGGGATTCCGGTGATCCTCGGCAGAGCAACAGCCGATGGGCGACTGGGTTGTCGATGGCTTGTCACAAGGGCAGCCCGCTGCATCTGACCTTTTGGTTGGATTTCCTCTTGGGTATACGTGTATCGTTGGTGTTGTTTGTCTACCTAGTGTCAAGGCTGTGTGTGTCCGACGACGACTTGAAGTTTGTGCCGAGGGAGGGGGAGGTTATCACTTAGGCACGGAGGTACACGCATTATCACAGTTTGACAGGCTAGGCACCAGGATATTGAAGAAACACACGATAATACTACTACCTTAGTATATCGATACAAGTCCTCGACTATCAACGGGACAATGCGGGGTGATTTCATTAGACAAGGCGCCATCTGCCTTTTCCCCCCTCCCGCCCTTTGACGGAGCTTTCCCCCATCATTGTTCGACGGACGGACGGACTATCACGAGAATCAACGAACCTACTCGAGTCATTTGCCCGTCCAGCCGGAAGCCGGCCCAGCGCAAGTTGGTGATGCGAGAGGAGGTGGTCTTTGCTTTTTTTTCGGGTGAAATCTGGGGAAGAAAGTGGGCGGCTAACAAACAGCATCAAGGCAAAAAAAAAAACATTGATGAAGAGGAGTTTGCGGGTTATTGCGCCGAGAGAGGATCCGGGTCGGACGACCTAACGGCGAATTATTTGCAGGCTATTATCGCGACTACTATCTTATATGGAACCGTTGGTTTGATACAGTGCCGACGAGGTGGTTCTCTTTCCGGGGAATACGTGTGTACAGTACTTGGAATAAAGACTCAGCAAAGGAGATGCTGTTGTATGTAGGTGGACGGGCAATGTAATAGCCGCTTGAATGCGTTGCATCGCCCATCCATCCCAGACTGGCGGTGTCGCTATCAATTGCTACCATTGCGTGTCTCTGCTCACCTGCCGATTGCGCCTCGTGCCCGGCGATCGCGACGGAGGGATTCCATGAGATTGGGTCAGGAAGCTGACATTGTGCGACATGTGCAGGGCAGAATGGGTGGTGGTGGTGGTGGTGGTGGTGTATGATGTCTGTAAGATCAAATAACACATGCAGCATGTAAGTGATACAGGCTGCCATGGAAGAGGTAGGGTATCAAAAGAGGCTGCATATTGCCAACAAAGTAGGGCTGACGATGAGCCATCGGGGGAGGAACAAGTGTGAGTCAGGCAGAGTCCAAGCAGCTCCGATATGCTACATACTGCTGTGCGATGGCGGCTCCGTCCAGCTTGTTGCACTCATAATACTGTGCCAGTTTGCTTGTGACATGCCGAGATGCTCCGTTGCAGCAGCAGCAGCAGCACAGCTTGACAGTTGCTAGTCTGGGGTTGAAGCAATAAGACATGGTTACAGTTACATCTTCGACGGACTATTCTTTTGTGACCCGTCCTGCTCCGCACTCACCCCCCCCCCCAATCATTCCTCCTCTGTCATGGATTGCTTGCGGGTTGGGAATTCGTCGTGCTTTCTGTTGATTTTTTTTTTTGACGCCCACTCCCCCTCCGTCTTGGCAAAAAGAGCTCGATTCGACAGGCGTGGGCACACGCGGCTTGGGCAGATGATGCGGGTGATATCGCGTCGGTGAGGGACTCCCGTCAATCAGATGCACCCAGCTGGCCGGCCCGTCTATTAGGCAAAAGCGGACTTGAAAAGCCAAATGATGGGGGTCTTTTTGGTTTCCCAGCATATCATTTGTCTTTCGGTCGCCCGTCACATCTTACAAGCTCGGCATACTCGTTTATGATATACTTCACATGCCTGATGATCGCGGGGTATGCCGGACCCCAAAGTTGAAATGACTGGCAGAGCTTGAACCCTTGGGAATGTTGGTGGCTTTTTTTCGGGCTGGATTTTCATGCAAGTCGATCGGCCGTGCATGCAGTCAGAAACCAAAGCAGAAGTGACTGATCTCTTGGAGGATGAGTTGGTGGGAGGGAGCTCAGCGAGGTGATTGGACCTGGTGAAGAGACGGGAGGCAGAGATGGGCTTACGGGCAAAGGAAAGGAGCCTCGTCTTATTGGGGGATATATTCAGGCGGGACGGGGCTGTGCAGATGCTACAATATGGAAGATTGGTCGGCTGCTGGACGGAGCAGACTCTCTCTCTTTGTTTGGAACAATCAGTCATTTATTGGACTCTCAGTTTTTAGTTGAACGTTTCCCTTTGTTGCTTTGACGCTGTCCTTGGATTCCTACTTGCCTGATGCGGCGAATATCTCACTGTCGGATGTCACTGAAAGACGACCTGCCAAAGCGGGAAACGCAGGCGAGACGAGCTTGGGTCAACCAGTCAACAACGCAAATGAGGAGGCTCATTCACTTCCTTTCTCCTTCTTTGTGCGACTCGGCCCGCTGAGCACTTGCTTGCCGGGGATGCAAGACTCTGCGCCCGTGCGAGAGGGAATCCCTGATGCCAGATGCAAGGGGCCGTCGGTTTCTACGGTGGTGATAAGAGAGAGAGAGAGAGAGAGAGAGAGAGAGAGAGAGAGACTAGCACTAGCAACCAGATGGCCCATGTGCCTCTTTTTTTTTGCCGCCGTGTAAGATGATGTGCCTAATAACCCCGCGGGTAGCACGGGGGTAATGATGCGGGCGAGGCGGGGGAGAGTGAGTGGTAAAATGAACAGACTCGCCCGTGCTTTGTCTCGCCGGATGGGAGCAGATGAGTGAGTGAGTGAGTGCCTGATGTGCCCTCGCTTTAGATATACCTGACGGTTGATGGACGAGTCACATTCGCGATGCTTTTGGGAGTTGCGTGCGGGGTGGAATTAGTACTATGTTGGAGATGTGCTTTTTTCTGGCGTGATGTTGATGTCGATCTGGGAGGGGTTTTGGAGTTGTTGGGCGAGGGAGAGTGTAAGTGTCTCTCTCCGTGTCTCACAGGTGATGCTGTGGCTTATCGAATTACCTGTATTTTCATGGCACTTTCTTTCACTTGTGATCAATAGGACGAGAGGCATAGCCGACATGGAATCAAGGCAATATTAGGGAATGAACATGAAACGCACAAGACTTGCTATCCGGATGCGACAGAACAGAACAAAGACCCGAAGCATCACGGCCCTTCTCCAAAAAGATCAGCAACCAGACAACAAATCGTTTTTTAAGGTTGTTCGTTGCCGGGCGTGCATTAGTGGGAGGAAAGGGAACAGCCCCTTTCAAAACGGGATGCCTAATTCGGGCCACCGTTTCGATTTATGCCCTCCTCCTTATGTACCTATTCTCTGCAACCATGTGCCACATGCAGCAGCAAGTTGGGCAGATGTTGGGAGCAACTGAATCGTGGTGGAGGGTGGCGGCGTCGTTTCGTCGATTCGGGCGAGATGCCACTGCTCGAGGCCGATTGGGCGAGTGGCAGGCCGGGCCTTTTTTACGAGGGCAAGCCTCTTTTTTGATTTTTCTATCCCTCTTCTTACTCTTGTTGCTGTTGGCTGTGGTATGTCTCTCGATCCTCTCTGAGCGGACCGTCTTGCTCTATCTGGGCTAAACTGACTGGGACTGGGAAACTGTGACAAAAGGATTCTCGAGGTTGATACACTGTGTTGTAAAGGAGAAAAAACGGCCGCGATGCTTCTCAACTGATGTGGCTCAGACCTAGAGATTGGCGGGCGAGCATCACCTTGAGCCACCCCCAATAATGTGGGTTGTGGAAGGAAGGATTACTATTAGAACCTTGGAAACGATGAGAGAGGAAGAGGCGGAGCGAACAGGGGGAGGGTGAGTGTCTATCAAACGGGCGATCCCTGGAGAATGGCGACAGATGGCGAGATATGGAGAGAGACCGCCATTTGTGAGGACAAGAAGAGAGTCCGGATTACGTCCGCCACTCGGTGAAGGGCTTGACAGAAGATGAGAGAGAGAGAGAGATACCGCCGTTTTGAGCGCATCCCTGCATCTGTCGGACGCGAAATGAGGGCGGAATCAAGCTTTGGGTGAAATTGGCGGTGCAGGCATCAGCTTCCCCGGCAATAAACCCATGTCCAAGTGCCCATGCCCATGCCCATGTCCTTGTCCACGTCCATGTCCACGTCCACGTCCACGTTAATGGGCTTCGCAATGTAAGTACGGGGTAAATAGTCACGATGACTCGAATCCATACTGTAGCTGTAACATGCAGGGCGATAGTAGTATTACTACCTATTATGCAATGGGTTACACGTTTCTGCCTCACGCTGTTGAGCCGCGCATCTCCGTCCAGCTACTGGCAAGCCAGCTCATGTAGTGTAGTGGTAGTATTGGGTATGTATGGATATTAATTACTGGGCACACTTTTCCTTTGCTTTTCCTTTTGAATAATGCTTGCAAACCGTAAGACATACGTGTCCCCGCAGCGAGGCTGAGGTTCCCAACGGCCCGCAGCTGAAAAAAGAGGGCGAACCAGCGCATCAGCTGCAAGCTGCAAACTGCAAGCCAAAAAAGAAAAAAAGAAAAATGCCGTGAACTGGCATGCCGCGTGGCCGGCGACAAAGTATGGGAGGACATGGGGGACGGATCGCGATCATCAAGACGGTCGAATGTTCTGGGGAAATCTCTTTGTGGCAGAGGGATTTTCAGAGAATAATGGCAGACAAGTCGGACGGATCTCCGGGGTTTGATGGCAGAGGAGCACATTCAAGAGGCATCTGTTTCTTTCTACAGCTCTCCGACCGGGGCCTGGCGAACAAGGAGCGCGAAACGAACTGCGAAAAAGAGGAGGAAGAAACAAAGACAAAACGCCACCGTCTGAAAAGGCGGAGAGCAGCTCCGTTTTCTGGTCTTCCCCCCCTTGCTGGCGGCACGCCTCCTTGGGGCCCGTGTCGCACCCCCTCCCCCCTCACAGCTCTCTCCTTTTTCTTTCTTTCTGCGATTAGTTGTTGCGTTTCTTTGGGTGTCGAGATGCTATCAAAGAGATTGTGACTTGGGCAGTCTGCATCAGCTGCCTTTGTTGAGATATGTGCCGCATCGAACGTGAGCAAGAATGGGTTCTTTGGTTTCATTCCCCGGGCGTGTGTTCCGTCTCTGCGATCAACTGTCTATACATACACATGAGTAATACTACAGAGGCGAACATGAAGTTGCGAATACTTGCAAAGCAGGAAACACGCACGCAAAGCCGTGGGTCATCCTGACATGCTCGGACCATCATTTCAGACGGGGCCTTTTGACCCCCTTTCCGGCTGGTCCCGGTCCACGCACGCCGCCTCCCACCCCAGTTTGAATTTTTCCACACGCCCCCCCTTTCCGAGGGAGCCTGGGAGGGAGGCGAGGCTCTTCGGTGGGACGCACAGCTGGGTAGTGTGGCCTTGGCTTGCTCTGACTCGAGCGCCGGGGCCGAGGAGCGGGCATCAAGCGGGTGATTATAATGCGCCCTCACTCCCCCGGATTCGGGCTTGGGTTTTCTTTTGGATCTTATAATTCTTTCTTCCTCTTCTCAAGCAGCCATATACCAAACGTCTCAACATACATCTTGTATACGAAACATCACGAGCAGGATCAGGATCCTCTTTACGAACAACGATCACGACATAATCTCCCAGTACGAGCACATATACCCATACCTCACTGCTCGTACTACCGCAAACCAAACAAACACAAACAACTTTGCGCGTCGACGCGAAGGAAAGCGACACAACACAAACCGCAATCCAACCAGGTCTTCTCAACGACCTTTTTTTCTCTCTCCCAACAAACACAACTGCGCTGGCCGCGGCAAACAAAATGTCCCCCAAGCAGTCATCATCATCAACAGACGCCTACTACCTGCTCCCCAACCTGCAGGCCATGGACCCGACAGCGCGCGAGCTTGACCTCGAGGCCGAGGCGTGGATCCAGCCCATCATCATCGAGGATGAGGACCTCATGTTCGGCGGCAAGCCCCTGAGCGCGTGGTACGAGGAGGATCGGTCGCGGCTGAGCAGCACCAGCAGCAACAGCAGCGACGACGGCAACCAGAGCTTCGAGGAGGAGGAGCGCCGCGGGCGCGAGCGCACGAGGAGGCATTACGACGGCAAGGCGCTGAAGAAGTCGCACCGGAAGTGAAAGAAACAAAGATTGACAAGGTCACTCTGGTATATATGACAGAGAGGTGGAGTGCCTGCTTGATGCAGGGCTGTCACCTCTTTGTTTGCTTCCTCTTCTCCGCCTTCTCCTCTTTTGCTTGATGCAATCTATACCCGCAATCCTCTATATCACCTCATCAACATCATCATCTACCCCCATCGATTACTCTTTGGCACCTTTTCACTATATCATCAACGCCGACCTCCTTTTCCATCGTTACCATACCCAGCTACGACGAATCAACGCTTTAGACCTCTCAACAACCCACGGGAAAGACAAAAGGAAATCATCATCGGTTATTCATATCATACGGGTTACACTGGCGTTACAACTATCATCATCATCAACATCACATATTCATTCACTGGTTGCATCGGGATCAGCGCGGGCTCGAACTGTACTTCATCCCCCCATCACAATGTTCTGGCATCACCGGGAAAAGAGCGACCGACTCACTGTTGGTTGACTACTTTTATTCTTGGGGTTTGGGAGCTGGATTCATTGGGTTTTTCCATTATTGTAGAACAATAATCGTTTGTTTCAATCATCACTCATGAGGGAGGGATTAATGCGGTTTTGCTATCGAGCAGTTGAGGATGAAGTCATGCCGGGATGGGAGATACCATGATCTTGACAGAAACTGAATGGCAGGAATACCATAACAATAACAAGCATTACAATTACTCTTTGACTCATACTGTGAATATGGATTGCAAGTAGCTGGGAAGTAGATGTGATAGACGTGATGGCATTTGCAGGCTGGCAGCTATGACAGGGGCATGACACGAGCATCATAACGAAGTCAAATCGCCAGGATCATAGACCAGACTACTCTACTACAATACCATTACAGCATGACGAAAACAGCATTGCAGAATTAGGAGTTTCCTCCAGTGACTCTCCAGTGACAGATGGCGTTCACCAGAACAAACGATCTACAGAAGGGACATGAATCTTCTGGACAAGGACTGGCTGCCTGCGACCGAATCGGACCAAAAGAAGGAGGGAAAAAAAGACGCGATCTGTGCCGCTGTGGCGTGCGGACCAACTTTACGCCACGCAGCTACAAGCAGAACGATATCGGTCTCGCGCGAAGGTTGGGGGAATGAACGATTTTTTTCTTCTTCCCTCTCTGGCGACCGACCGGTCGATCGGCAGTTCTTCTTGGTTTATTGGGCGTCTTGTATTATCCGGACTGTCGGGTCATTGACTGACTCATTGAATCGAAGTGGTGATTGATTGAAGTCGTGATAGCTTGTGATTGATGATGCTGTGAAAGACGGGATGGGAGACGATTCAGCTTGTGTGCGCGAATGATGATGTATTTTATTCGTAAGAATCGAGAGGTTTCAAATTTCTCGTGATTGATGTGAGCTGATGATGATTACGAGCTGTTACGATTCTGTGCATCGGGAGTGATTGATTGATCAAGTCTGTTTTTAACCTTTGGGGTCAGCTCTTCAGCTGGTTGCGAGTGTTAAATTCCTCCCGTCTTTCCCCCCCTTTCAGCTTCTTGGGGTGAGCTGTCAAAACGCGATGCCATGTGCAGCACCCGCCCAAGCACGAGGCTAAGCTCCATTACGACACTACGAAGGAAATACAGAGCAAATGACGAGATCATTCCAGTTTGTTCGGGAAGTGCTGTCGGCTTCGGGCTATTCTCCGGGAGGCAAAGAAAGACATACCATAGGTATAGCAGAGCGCGATACGTTAGACCGGAGCGAAATGTTGCTGTGGCTTGTCTGGTTTATTTTGCTGCCTTCTGAGTAAAACGTCCGGTCAAGGGAGAATCAAGGTTGGGGGGGGAGGCAAAGGATTGACCGGGCCGGGCAACGGCTCAGAGGAGGCCTGAGAGGCCGGTGAGGCTGGAAACGACCTGAGAATTGGCTTGACAGCAGAGGGTAACAGGAGCGATGAGGTGTGAGTGGGCTGTACAGTACGTGGGTAAAATCCTAGAGGAGGTGTGGATGGTTTTTGTCCCCTTTCAAGCCTTTCAGTGTTGCTCTAGTACGTACGCATAGCTCTTCAGTGCCGTCTTTGTGGCTTGACGCCTTTACGAGTGACAAAGAGTTGGGCGGATAAGGGTTTGTCCTTTTGTTATTGTTCGGAGAGGCCGTATTGTTTTGTGCTGCTTCGTGTTGTGTCTAATAATAGGCGAATTCGAGCAGCCATCGCGATGAGCATTGTTGGTTTCAATCTCTTGTCTCTCTGTTGTTACCAGAACTAGTCCCTAGTCCCTAGTATCACAACTTTCGATGCCAACGTCTCTCCGTCTTCTGCTCGGCACTTGACATGTGGGCGCACACGTGTCGTCCTGTATGTACTGTAACCCCGTCCGATGCTAAAGCGGCCCCGGCATGCATGCCTCCATGTAAGTCTTTCATGCACGCCCGTAGTCCCAGCTGAGAAAGAAGAAAGAGCAGAATAGGGGGTTCACCAGTAAGGCAGCGGTAAAGCGCGTGGAAGCACGGCTCGACGTTCCAGAAGCCCGTTCTGTCATTGTTCCATGCAGGCCACCTCTTCTACTTCTTCTCCCATGGCGATGGGCGATGGGGGCATGATAATCGGACATGGGACTTGACGCACGCCCTGGAGGGATGCGTTGCGGCCCAAGAAGAACTGCGAACAGGGATATTCAGCTGACCCTTTTTCGAGATTTTTTCCATCGGTTCTCCATATTCTTGGTGATGCGGTGCTGTGTTGGCAGACTGACGGGGGTTCCTTTTGGATGGGGATTGTGGGTTTTATATTGGAGCCGCCTTTGCGTGCTGCTGTACATACGGTGTGACCCTTTTGTGTATGGCGGTGAAGGGGGGGGCTGTGGTTTGCTGGCAGCTGCAGGACAAGTTGCCGGGAGAAAAAGCTTGTGAGATTTGGGCTGGATTGGGGGATGTGGTTGGTCGATTCGTGCATTTCAGCTAAAAGGTGGAATGACGGTGAGTTCCGCCTTGTTCGTCTGGCCTTGTTCGTTGTTGCGAGATGGTTAGGTTGGGAGTGGGTTGAAACCGTTTCGATGGCGGTCCGTTTTCGAGGGGAAACGGTGTCAGTGCTTGTCCATGCATGCCGCAACTTTCAATGCGACAGACAGGATGCTTTCCCTTGTGAAGGTTGCTTCCAGAATCATCAACAGAGGAAGACCATCTTATCAGGCCCCTCTGTGATTGCTTCCGCCATCTCGTCTATTCATAGAATAACTCAGAACGCTATCTCAAGGCGGTAGCATGGAAGCCGAGCTAGAGCAGGACAACTCGGTAGGCAATCCGAGGCGGGCCAGCCCGAGATGGCGCCCGGCTTAGCTGGCTGATCGCCGCAGGAGAATGTCGTTCTTGATCTGCTTCTCAGCTTCTGCTTGTCTCATCGCTTCCAGCTGTGATACTGCTTGGCTTCCTGATGTAACGCCGGTATCAACCTGCTCAGATTTATGTTGATTAGGAGATAACCTGTGTTTGTCCTCTACAAAGCACGCTTTCCCCTGGAAAGCCCTTCTGTCGCGACGCACTCGATTCGCGTTTGTCGGCGCCCCTAGCCCACTTCATGATGGCTTCACTCACAGCGCCGTCTCTATCACCGAAAAAAACTGAAAATGCATACCAAAGGCGTGAAGATACATGTTACAGTTTGAGGTCATACTTAGAACTACACTCCATGAAAGTCTAGATTTGGTAATTGAGTAGCCTGTCCAATGCCTCGACTGCTGACGCGGCTCGATATTGCATCGTGAAGCTTATGGCCGTCAATACCTCGATATATCAGTTCGCCGCGGCACAATGCACCGGGCTGATATTGGATGTAACAACCATGTTCTCACATGGTACAATCTTGATAACAGCGGCCCATGACGGGGAGGGTGAAGGCTCTATATACAGCTAAATAAAATTGTTAGCAATACCTAGGTCAGCACTATATAGGCTCATGTAGTGCCGATGAGCCAGCACATTTTTCCACGGTGAGGCAATAGAATGGAAACTGGTCAAACTAGACTCACTCAGCATTCATTTTGATGGTATCGGCCGTATTGAAACATCGCAAGATAAAGACACCTCCTCTTCTGGGCGCCTTCTCCGGGCTGCTGTCTTGAGCCACCGCACTGGATTGCGCTTGCGGGGGATGATGTTTGATCTGATGACGGTCACGAAAGCCAACTGTTTCTAAGTGAACACAGTTGGCCTCGCTTTCTATAACAGTTCCGTCGGGCAACTGTCCTGACTCGACGAGAAGTTCATCATCTGCAAACAACTCGGCTCTCATTCTCCCCTCCAGGAGCCATCACTGACGAAGCTACCCAGTTGTCCGGCTCAGGCCGAGGAACCGGCCGATCATTCATGATGGACAACGAGATCCTCAAACATGTCTCTCTGTACTATCTCAGTCGGAGCCTTTATCCAGGCGCAGAACCCAGACGGCCTTTCACCTAGTGCTCCGCTCGAAGCAGCCAGCCCCTAACTGTTCAGCAACTGTTGGTACCACATCTTGTAATACTCTCTGGAGTATTCTGTCTCAATTGCAAATCTGGTGAATCTAAACAGCGAGATTTGAATGCCCGTCGCGGTGAGGAGCAGGGAATGTTGACGAAAGGATAGATGCTGGGTTTGGAGGCCGATCCCCTGGCGTGGAAAATCCGCCTGCGTTGGCTGATGACGTTTGCCTCATCGTCAAGTTCTTCAAGCCGTGAGCCTGTGAGATTTGCAGATAGTTAATAGCTCTGTTGAGGATTCTGGATATTTCCGCTTGCGAGCAGAGGGTCTGGATAGAAACATGGAAAATGACCTTATGTGATCTAACTGTTGCTGATTCCCAGTACGACATAGATGCTACTATTCTGTGAGGAGAGGAATCAACAAAGCTCAAACTTGACAGTTGGCTGATCTTCTGCTACGCATACTCGGCACATCTTTAGCAATCTCGACCAGAGAGAAGACAAACATGTTGGACACTTCTGAAGTGACGATGAATAACATATCTTCTCAACACCAGAGTAGCATCCATGGTACTCTCATAACCACCACATCAAGGAGGCCACCATATACTTGCCATATCATAGACGCTCACAAGACCGGGTCAAAAATGCCGCCTATCCTATCAGTATATCTCGCACCCTCCAATCGCAGAAATTACTTGTTCCAGTCTCTAGCACGATCAGTCTTTGTTGTTTGTCGAACTAGGCCGTTGAGCAATCGTCAATTCAACGGATTCCTGACAGAGAACTTCCACCAATAGCACGACTGCACAACTGTTTCTACCAATATAGTAACTCCAACTTCAATAAAGCCATATGTAACCACCCGTGGGGATAATGCCAAGGGACCAGATTCAGAGTCATGATGGTCGGCGGATAACACGGCCCAGATACGCCGACAAGATCCTCGTACGAGCATGTCACTGAGAGTTCAAGACTTGCCCGCAGAGACACAAATGCTCGTTGCCAAATCGGCTCAAGCCGCTGGGTATGTCTGGTGTCGTCAGATCAATTTGGCGGCCTGTTGGAACTGGGTCTTTAATTGGACAGGCAGCAAGAACCGCACACCTGGGCTAGATGTAAACAACAACTTCGAGACCCGGCTTGTCAAATGCTTGTACGACACGTACGTCCTCGTACGTTGGGTGACATTGTCAATAGCAGCAGTCAGCAGTCAACATGGCTGCGTTGCAGTAGACGTACGATGTTCGAAGCACTTCTCCTCTACTCCATGCTCCATCCATGTCTGCTTCTACCCCTCAGAGACTCTACTTATCCGTTGCTACGCTGCTTTGGTCTCTCGGCTTACCGCCAGAGACAGGGGTCTCCGGTCAGAAATCCACAGCTTAGCATGAGATAATGGCACTTGTCTGTATGCTTACTGGCAGTTGACGCAAACCACTCACGAACTGCCGAAGGAATCGTCCAAGCTTAAAATAACAGCGGTAGGGACACATAAGAAGCTTAAACAGACCAGACGACGTAAAGAAATTTAAGAGGTCTCCGGATCCACGGAAGCAAAAGTTCTTGGCCGAGCCCCGGCACGTCCCAGTCACCCGTCGTATTTGAGCGTATCCCTACCTTACCTGTTCTTCAATCCTGCGGAGATGGCGGCACGATGAAATGCATTGTCGTGCTGGAGACCATGCAGCCGATACGAAGCCATCACCAGCGGGCGGGCAATGCCCTGGTCCTCGTAACTGCAAGATGCGACCTCGTATTCTGCTGGTGATCGGATGGTTGCGCAGCTCGTCAGATGGCAGACGGCTGTTGCTACCAGCCAGCGGTTTGCCGATGACAACTCCGCATGATCGGCGCCGTCATCAGTGATGAGGGCGGGGAGGAAGCACAAAGCATACGAGATCATGCGCAAGCGTATGATGGACTCTCGGAGGTCGGAGTTGCGCATTTGTGTCGAGAATAGCCGTCGTCGGTGGCAGGTATATGAAGGATACGGCTCACCCGCGTTTTGAAGATCATACAAAGGTCTTTAGAAGCAACAAGTTTCCCGTCCTTCAAGTCTCTAAACAAGACCCAGCTCTCGAGTCTGCGATTGGGAGCTGAGGGCATCATGAAGTTCAGTCCTACCTTGGGCCTGCTGGCCCTCGTGAGCGGAGCATCTTCCCTCACCGTCACGACGAACGTGGACCAGCTGCGGTCGAAGCAAAACACAACCGTCGTCCCCAACACCTTCATCGTCGAGCTGCAGCCAGACTTCCACCCAGGACTCCAGCCCAAGGACCGGTTCGCAAAGACCAAGCCGGGAGCCAAGCCCAACTGGCGTGTGCGCCACCAGTACAACGACACCGACATCTTCTACGGCGTGTCGGTTTCGTTCGACTCCCCCGTCGACCTTGCGACACTGAGAACGTCTGCCGGTGTCAAGAATGCCTGGAGCGTCGCCGTTGTTCCGCGGCCGGAGCTGCGTGGCCTCTGGGGAGTCAACAAGGGAGGGACGAAGCTGCCGGATTACCGGGGCAGCTCCGACGTGAACCGTCCGCTGGACATGGGCAACGTGCAGAAGCTTCACGACAAGGGCATCAAGGGCAAGGGCGTGCAGGTGGCCCTCATCGACAGCGGCATCGACTACACGCATCCTGCGCTGGGAGGCGGCTTTGGGCGAGGCCACAAGGTTGCCCTGGGCTACGACTTTGTGGGAGATGCATATGACGGCTCCAACGACCCCCAACCGGACGGCGACCCCCTGGCAACATGTGCGGATGGTGGTCACGGCACTCACACGGCTGGTATGTGCTCGTGATGATGCAGACGAAGGGGTTATGAGAAGAAAGATGAGTCCCTAACTGTTGAGATAGGCATCGTGGCCATGCAGGACCCCAAGAAGCAGGGCTTCGGCCTCGTCGGCGTGGCTCCTGAAGCAACGCTGGCCGCGTACCGCGTCTTTGGCTGCGAAGGAGGCGCCACCAACGACATCCTGATTGCGGCCATGATCCAGGCGTGGCGAGACGGCGCCGACATCGTGTCCATGTCCCTCGGGCTCTGGCAGGCCTGGGAGGAGATCAACCCCTTTGAGGACGTCGTCGACAAGCTGACCAGCCACGGCGTGGCAGTCGTCGCCTCCATAGGCAACTTTGGCACTGCCGGGCCGTACTCGTCGTCGACGCCCGCCATCTCGCTGAGTGCCCTCTCTGTGGGCTCTATCGAGAGCGACATCTACCCGACCGCGTGGACAGCTCACGACGACCAGCACAGGGCCATCAACTACATCAACGTTTTCCCCGCCTCTGAGCTGGGCCGCGTCGAGGTTGTCCAGCTGGGATACGGCCTGGCCGTCCCCATCACCCCCAACATCACGAGCGGCTGTGACCAGGATGCCTGGGACGCCCTTTCAAACGCGCAGCTGAACTGGAACACGACCATTCTGCAGGTGTCGTGGGAGTCCTGGTGCGGCACTGCCTGGGGTCCCGCTGCCGATCTGGGCGTCAAGGCGCTCCTGGTCACCATGTCAGAGGCCCAGGACATCCTCGTCGACGAGCCAGGGAGCGAGCCCGCGGCGCTGTACTTGGATATCGACAACTCAAAGCTGTTGCTGAGCCGCCTCGCCAAGCAGCCAGCCGGCAAGAAGTACGCCCTGACGTTTGACGGCACCAAGGCCGTCGATGTGGCGAACCCCTATGGCAGCGCCCCTGACTACTTTTCCAGCTTCGGCCCGACGATCGAGATGACGCTGGAGCCCAAGATCTCGGCCCCAGGAGGCACCATCTTGTCGACGTTTCCCGTCGACGCGGGTGGCTACGCGGTGCTGTCGGGAACCTCCATGTCCGCCCCCTTTGTCTCCGGCAGCCTGGCGCTGCTCAAGTCGCAGAACCCGCGCCTGACCGTGCCCCAGCTCTTTGCGCGGCTCATGACGACGGCGAGGCCGGTCAACGAGCTCAACTCCAAGCTGACGGCATCTGCGGCCCGCCAAGGTGCCGGCATGATTGACGCCTACGCGGCCGTCACGGCAGACACGGTCATCAGCCCGGCCGAGTTCAGCCTGCGCGACTCGGCCTCGCCGGCGCCGCAGAAGATCACCATCTCGAACCAGTCGCGCTCCCGCAAGCGCTACTCGCTCCAGCACGTCCCGGGGACGTTCTACCGCCTCTCCAACAACTATCTGTCTGACATTAAGGACAACTTTTCGAGTGCGAATCTCCCCCTGACTCTGGACATACCCGCTTCCGCCCAGTTCTCGCAGTCGTCGGTGACTCTTGGGCCCGGCCAGTCTGTCACGGTCGAGGTCCAGATCAAGCCGCAGCCCGACATGTACCCGTTCGCGAACCCTGTGTACAGCGGCTTCATCAAGATCACGGCCGACGACGACGACGAGTACTCGGTGCCATACCTTGGCGTGCCCTATAACCGGACCGAGGTCGGCCCCATCGTCCACAACGTGACAACCGTGAAGCCGTACGACTCTCCTGGGATCCTCAAGGCACAAGCCACCAACCTGTTCCTCGCGGATGCCCTGACGCCGACGCCCAACCTCGAGACGTACAACTGGACGACGGACCTGGACGAGGCCTACATCCCCGTCTTCCGCATCGACACGATCATGACTCGCTTCCTGCGGCTCGAGCTGGTGCCCGCCAACGTCTCCTTCGTGCCGTCCATGTACGGCTTCGACCCGGACGTCCACATCGACTACAAGTTCCCCGACCAGCCCATCTTGCCCGGCTTCCTCGACGTGCCCACGTACGGCCTCGTTCTTGCCGAATCCCTCGAGCCTCAGCCGGAGGGAAGCCCCATTATGCAATCGACCGATATTGGCCACTTCCTGGGGCTGGCCTTGTTAGACCCTTCCCTGACAAGCGACAAAGGCGACAAGTTTAGGATCGCGGCGGGCGACTATCGGGTGCTGTTCCGTACTTTAAGGTGGCGTGGCAACGAGACGAATCCCGACGACTACGAGTCCTGGCTGGGGCCGGTCATGCGGTTCGACATTCCTAGCGACCTGCCGCCCGACTTTCCAAACAGCTCCGAGTAGAGAATTGTTTTTTTCGTTGTCTTTTTGACCCTTTTCTTTTAGGGCGAGAGCTGTGGCGAGGTGGAAGTTGGTGGATATAGGTTTGGGCTTCTGTAGCTTTTGGGAAAGGGGAGATGGCCGTTGAATGGCTTCAGTATCAACTTGCTACCTATGTTGCTTAGCATCGGCGATGGAGACTCGTACTTGTGAGAGGGATCATACTTGTTGAATCTTTTCAGTTTGCGGACAATCTTACCAAGTCTGGATCATCTTGTTGCATTTCTGGTGAGGAGTCGGCGTTTGTGTGGGTTGATGTGAAATTGACGATATGTCATGGTTGGGAACTCCAAGAGATGCCACAATGAAACCTTTGAAAGTACACCCTCATCTGCAGGCCTGAAGTTACCGAGTCATTGTTCACACAACATCAACTTATGTGAAATTGACGGTGTGTCATAGTTGGAAACTCCAAGAGATGCCACAATGAAGCCTTTGAGAGTACACCCTCATCTGCAGGCCTGAAGTTGCCGAGTCATGTTCCACACATCATCAACATCCATCAGTTGTCAAAAGTCATTCCGTGAACCAAGACTATTGATAAAGAATCCCCCAAACTCGTCATCTGTATACTAGCGTTTACTGAGCCTCTTTGGGATGCAACGCATATAGAAGACCACTAATTGGACCGGTCTCGACCGATCCCTGTCTGTAGCATCCATGTTCAACTCACACAGCCAGCACCAAAGAGAGAATACTGTAATAAACCTTTGTGGTACTACCCCCCAAGCCTTTTGCGGGTTCAATGTAAGTGGGAGCCACAAGGCAAGACTTTACTCCCAACGGATCTTACCTTACTGAAAGTGGTATGCGGCAACTACCGTTCTGATCCATAGTCAGCACCATAACCAGTCGGTAGTTCGGTAGTTCGGTAGTTCGCTTGCATGAGTTGACTCGTTTGGTGCTGCCCAGCTGCCAATTGAGTCGCCGGTCACCGGTAAGACGGCCAGGGAACCTTTGTGCCTGACTGGTCTAGTTGAGGGACCAAGACCAGAGGTTACTCTCGCGGCTGAGCTGTCTTTCTTCATAGCTTATCGGAGGCCGCACACCAGTCCAACTCCGTCATTGCGAACAGGGAGCAAGCCTAAGCAAGTGGCATCGACAACAGGCATCAAGCTGGACCTAGCGAGGTTAGAGTTGAGTTAGAGTCGAGTTGAACAAGGATGGGCTCTTGTCTGAACGTAAGCAAGTATCGGTCAAGGCGCCGGTAGAGTCAGCCCTACGGCCCTTGAACAACAAAAGAACCCCCCCAAAACCTACAGGGGGGTGTTCACCTCTGAATGTCACTCGTGCTTGACGGAATAATACCTACCGTGAGATCGCCCATCGACATATAGATGGAGTTTCTTTCCCACCTGTTGCGACCGCCGCTAAAATCTGACACGCTGAGGAAATCGTCCCAGAAGGGCCATGTCGAGGATGATAGGCGAGCCCTATCGACCGGAGATCCTGTGGGTCTTAAAAGGACAGCCGTGTTAATAGCTGAACCTTGGTCTGTATGGTGATAGTAGGGCGGACGGCTGTTGTGAACTGCCTCGTTGTCTTCACTAGCAGCATAGACTCTGAGAACAAACATATAGTAAGTCACTGCAACGACAAGACTCGTCCTTCAAGAAGCAAAGTCGCCCCATTGGCATAGTTGTGATTAGCTCTAAGTCTGCCAAGGTCGAATGGATCCAGATCTGGCTGTAAACAATAATATATCAGTCGGTTGATTGTTTGTCGACAGAGACTCTTGGTAGAAACATTGTTCCCGAGCTGTTTCAACCAACTCAACATGCCCACAAAGCCCACCTAGATGGGCCAGTAATAGCCTGTCAATACAACCTCCTGCAACTACATACTATACTGTCCACCTCCCCCCCCTTCCACACCCATCCGGCCTATACGAGGCCTCCTGCTCGCTGTTCTACTAGTCTTCCATGTTGCTCGTCAGTAAGTGAACCCAGATGAGGCCTCCGGCTGCATACTCTGAGACTACTGCGGCCTGTGAACACGCCTAGGCTGTCCGTCGCCTGCCACGACTCTGCGCTTGACAACTCCACCATCCTGGTGACTATCTTGGTTCATAGCCTCCCATACTCCTCATCGTCTCGTACGTTGTCGACGCAGTGCTAAGACGTCAGGCACAGGGATTTCGCCTGATCATCTCCTATCAGCAACTCCTGGCATGACAACGTCCCTATCCACCTGGGGCCCCCGTACTAAGGTGTGGAACGACCTACGCTTTTCGAGGACATTGTCGATCTGACGTACAGGCTGGGTATCAACAAGGTCATCTTTGCCGCCAACGCCGCAGCGGCACTCCTGCCGCATCGAAACTCCTGAAGAGTCGCTGGGGTTCATACCTGATACAGCCCGATACAGTGCCGCCAGATAACATGGGCCGTTGCTTCCCCTCCCCTGTCCTCTCACTGGCCAAGAGCTGGTACCTCTAGTTGTACGTCTTCCTCGCGCTGCAGGGCTATGGCGCGCTGGCGACCCGGCCTGGGCAGGGCTGACCAACGTCCTGGATGCGCTGCCGCCCACCCGCGCTCCGTCAGTCATGCTAGGCCCGGATCAGGCGCCGGACTCTCCGGCTACTGACGGATCGTCGATGGTACAGCAATCTGCAGGGCTGCGAGTCCACCATGTTGTCAGGGGCTGTGCTGAGGGCATTCCACCACAGACTCCCCGGGCCTTTGCTGATGCCGTTGCCGAGGCCGTAACTATTGCCAGACAGGTCTCATGAGTGACGAGGGGGTAGGTAGATGGAATGACATGTAGCGTGCGTTGTAGGTGAGGAGGGAGCCTGGCCATCTGTTACTGTTTGACATATCAGCTCTTCCTGCGTATGTCCCTGCCCTCAACTAGGGACTATATTGTACAGTAACAACAGAAGCGCATCTTTCAGCTCCCCTCAGATGATGCCTACAGGTAAGGTACTGTAGTATTTCTTCTTGATGGGAAAGTCATAGTATACATGCCCAAGTTCCTTATACGCGTATGACGGACGTATTTATACCTAGGTATATAACCACTTTAACCACCCCCCCTTTCCCTCCCCTACCAACCACCGACAAGACGCTACCGTCCCATCTCATCTTGCTCTTGTCAGCATACAAGTGTCTATTGAGGGGACAAGCATGGTAGTTTAATATGTGGAGTTCACCAACACCGACTCAAGACTCACACCATCCTATAGAAAACAGGCGATTGGTGCGCGGCTGATGCCCTCGTCCTCCCGGTAAGGCAAAAACCACTTTCCTGGAATTCGTTGTCCCTCGTTTCCCAAAGCTCTCCAATACGAGGTTGCCTCTTCGCCTCCAACGTGCCATCTCAACCCTACAGGGCTATTTTGCGAGAAACAAACGGACGAGAAATAAGCCCACTAGCTAAGCCTGTTCCATGGGTGCATTTGTCATGTCAGGGGAGGGGCTGCTGATTGGCCTCAACAGGCCTAGACCTAGACCTCTGTTGTGCCTTTGTCATTGTTCCGTCCGCTCTTCGTCCGCTAACGTTTATACTTGTGCTAACGTACGGAGTCTTTGTCGAAAGACAGCATTATAGTCTACGCGGATCAGTCAGATCATAACGGCCCTCGATCTGGTGCCCTGTGGCGAGCAGCCCGGCGCCCCACAGCTTTATTTCCCCGGCTTTCCTTGTAAGACAAGACGATAGACGAGGCAAGGAAAGACAACGATACAATTCTTGATAAAAGCGGAGGAAGCCCAACTTGCAAGTTCAGTCTCCCGCGGGGAATTTGAGCGGTAGAGAGAGATATTCTTGTCATCATGGCGACTGTCAAGCCTGTTCTGCGGCGAAGCCATACGAAATCAAAGTTGGGCTGCCAGGCTTGTAAACAACGGCATGTCAAGTGTGACGAGTTTCGGCCGTCGTGGTAAGTCTGCCATCTCCTTCAAATGGCGTTAGTATCTTGATGTGACCAATAGAGACACTGATACTTGGTCATTGTTTAGTCACAGATGCCTTTCGTCAAGAATCGATTGCAAATACCCAGCCCAGTCCGAGTCGGAGGACGAAGACGAAAAGGCCGCCTCTGCTCTGCGATGGCCAGATGACATTGAGGAATCATGTGCACAATGGAAAGAGTCAGGGAGGCCGCCGTTCATGTTCATGGCGTCGTCTCCGAGCTGGCATAACATGCCATTGAAGGACTTGCGATATATCTACAAGACGGCTCTGGTGGCCAACGTCCTCGAGCTGAGCAAGACAGCAGACATCTGTCTAGTCTGGGGCGATATGAGAACGTGAGTGCCTCGCTTTTTGCTGTTTGAGCAAGCCATTACAGTTGTAATAGTGGTTTACCGCGAGATGTAGATGCTGACGCTGTTTCTTGTTGGCCAGGTACTTTCAGCTCGCAACCCACTACGACTTTGTTGCTCAAACCATGGCGGCTGCAGCGGCACAAAGGCTTGCAGTCACAACAAAGTCTTATGAAGCTTCTCAGGATGCCTACCACTATCGAAAACAAGCTCTTTGTGGGCTGTATCGCGCTATGAGCTGCTTTTCCAAGGACAACGCCGATGCAGTCCTAGCCACATCTCTGGGCTGCTCATATATCATGCCAGACTAGTAAGTTGAATTATTGTCTTTAGTATAGCGTCAGGAGAACACAGCATCACGATTAGGCCTTTCTGACCACCCTCTGAAACAGCCGCTCTCTCATGGCCCTGGCAGGGGATATTTCAACCGTAAGCCCCGACGACATCACCCTCGTCTTCCCCGTCGCTCATAGTCTAGCAGGTAGTCGCCCGGATGAGGCCCTGGCTGAAACGATCAGCCTTTCACCGAATCTTTACATACGAGCCGACATATCCGGAAGCAGAAGAGCAGGCCAGCTCGTCGCCCCCTGAAACCGGCGACATGGAATATCGCTTCGTCCTCGTCAAGAAGCTTCTGTCCGAAGGAATCGGCGCCGTCAACGGCCTTTCCTTTTGCTTCCAGAGCGACCGCGATCTCTCAGCCATCCTCCGCCAGCTCCGCGACGTCATGCGCCTTGTCCACGAACGCCTCGGCGCCGACATCTCCCCCGAGGACCAGTTCCGCCTGGTCTACCCCTTCACATCGTGGTTTGTTAAGAACTCGGCCGCCTCGTACGTCGCCCTCAGCGCAAAGAACCCGTTTCTACTCGTCTTCCTGCTGCACTTCTACTCGGTCGTCGTTGCTCTCACGGTGGCCCTCCCGCGGATCGACGTGCCGCTCTTTGCAAAGTATCGAATGCGCGCCATCTTGGAGATTTGCAGTCTTTTGAGAGAGGAGCCGGGCTTTTTGTGCCAGCGGTGTAATGGGTTCCACGCGTATGAAGAGATCATGGCGTTTCCCCTGAGTAGCGTTTCTGTGTATCAGCAGGTTGGGAGGCAGGCGGGCGGGTTTGAGGGCATAGTTGCCGAGCGTTTCTCTCCGTAGAGATTGTTTGGGTTCCTATTTCTTTTCTTTTTTTTTCTCCATCCTGTGCTTTCCTTTGTTCTTGTTTTCCCAGTTGGGAATAGCATCACGGTGCACGCAGGGCATGGCGATAGATATATAGCGATGCAGTGGTGGTTAGGCATGCTTCATATCAGAGAGCAGGAAGCATCACGGCGTTTTGAGTTGCGAATTCGCGAGATTTACATACGGGACATGAACAGGGGGATCATTGAGTGGCCAATTGATCGTGAATTCTCTTTGGTCTTCAGCAAGAAAGCAGGTCGACATAGCAACAGTTGATGGGCTTCCAACTAACCCCCACAGGCGTAGATAAGCAAATCAGAGGACAACCCCTGTTCATCTCAGAAGCGGCATCGTGTTCCCCCGTCTTATGGAAAGCTAAGGCCTCAACAATAAACATGATGAAGATCCGGCAGATCCCCCAGCTCAGCTGAAGAACCGTAAATAGAAACATGTTTGATTAAAGTCAACGCATCTGGTCCATCCTGGGGCTAAACATAAGCGGCCTTCTGTTTCCTTTACAGATGCAACGATAGAACTTATCGCGGAGCATACTGAATCGGCAGATAGCGTCTCCAGGAGCAGTCATCAATCGGCCGAATCGCATCGCACAGACTCTGTGCCAACGAGTTGTATGGATGAATTTGTTCAACGAGCAGGTAAGCATTCTTTGAATGTCTATTTTCAGATCAGTTCTAATGCAGGTCCAGCGATGGAGTCTTCAGCCGCATCCCAAAGTGGAAGCTGTTCGGCTGCTCGCAAGAGTAATGGAGCAGCTTGTCTACTCCAAGATGCTACCATCGCGAGATGAAAAGAATATCTGGGGGTTGTCGATGCCTTCGAACAAGTATATAAAGAGCACAAAGGAAGTCACTGGGCCAGATTTAAGCATCCGGCATCAACACACAAACAGTCTCTTCAAGACCACCGACCTTTCCTCCTATCCAACAACAACCACACCCCGTCCTCAAAGATGAAGACCACCTTTGCCGCCCTCATCGTCTCCCTGACGTCCATCGTCAGCGCCTACCCCATCACCGGCGACGTCGTCAACTGCCGCACCGGCCCAGGCACCAGCTACGCCATCAAAACCTCCTACAAGAAGAGCCACGACATCTCCATCAGCTGCCAGACCACCGGAACCAGCGTCAACGGCAACAACATCTGGGACAAGACCGCCGACGGCTGCTACGTTGCTGACTACTACGTCAAGACGGGCTCCAGCGGCTTCGTCACCAAGAAGTGCAGTGCCTCCGGCGGCGGCGGCTCCTCGTCGGGGAGCTACTGCAAGACCATCAACGGCGCGGGTGTCGATCTGATTGCCAAGTGGGAGGGTTTCGTCGCGAGCCCCAAGCCCGATCCTATCGGTCTGCCGACGGTTGGCTACGGTCATCTGTGTCAGCAGAAGAACTGCGCCGAGGTCAAGTACAAGTTCCCCCTGACCAAGACGACGGCCAAGGAGCTGCTGCTGGACGACCTGCCCAAGTACACAAAGTGCCTTGCCGATGTTCTCAACAGCAAACCCAAGCTCAACGCCAACCAGTGGGCAGCCCTGTCTTCCTGGGTCTTCAACGTGGGATGCGGCAACGCCAAGACGTCGACTCTCGTGAAGCGTCTCAACAACGGCGAGGCCCCCAACACCGTGGCCGCGCAGGAACTCCCCAAGTGGCGCATGGCGGGAGGAAAGGTGATGCCTGGCCTCGAGGCTCGCCGCAAGGACGAGGTCAAGCTGTTCAAGACGGCGTCCTCAAAGGAGGCGTACCCCAAGTGTCAGGCATAAGGGGCTTGAGGTTGCAACTTTTGGGGCATTACTAGTAAGCTGATGGGCTGGTTACCTCAGCCCTACCAGCTGAATAAGTGGCAGGTGGCGAAGCTGTCGAGCTGGGACACTAGCTATGGCGGAATGTAGTTGAGGGTAGATGGAAGTCACTGTTGGTTTTTTGTCGTTTGGCTTGTTGTATAATTCTCCTGGGGCTTAGATCATAGACGTTGTCGAATTGCAGATCAATCTTCATCTATACGCTTTTGAACCAACATACGCAGTCACGGATATTGAGTGTAAGATGTCAGCAGCAGATAGCAACAGCAGCATAGCCTCTCCAAGCATCAAGCAAACACGTCTCCAGCAGCAGCAGCAACAACACGCACATGTGCGTACCAGTAACCAGGCAAAGCCATTGCCAAGAACAAACGCCCTGCGCACGTGTTATCCCTTCGTCGATGAAAGGCGTCAATCAAGGCATCACGTTACCACAATGTGTCAATGTGTGTCAATGCCATTCGTCCATCGACTTTTGCCATGCCCAGGTCAAAGCGGAAGGGTCGGGCGTGGCTTGCGTTAGGAGCAGCCTCAGCCCTCGACCTGGACCCGGCCTGAACCTGGCCTGAGATGTCAGCTACCCTGCCAGCTGGTTTTTTTTTTTGGGGACCCGTTGACGTGGATTTCAGGGTTCGGGAAGGGCTGGACTTGTGAATGGGATTTGACTTGAAGCGGCTCGATCGGAACAGGGCGCCGCGATCCAGGATATCGGGCATGGCCATTGCTTGTCTTGCCTTTGCAGGGTCCCGCCGTGATGGAGGGGGCTTCTCTCTGCTGGGATGAAGAGAAACGTGCCCTTTTCCTTGGCTTCTCCCTCGTCGAGTCAGAGGTAGAAACTTTGCAAAGAGTCAGTGCGGAGACAGAGGAGTGATGCCCGACTCCCTTTCGCATCATTCGTTTTTCAGCATTGCCTCCTTGATACGTGTCACTGCTCCCCTCCCTTCATCAGACCAGCCATGTGGATTCGTGGACAAGCTCAACAGCAAGCCACAAATCCTAGAGCCATCCAACCATCTTCAGCCAGGAGAATGACAAACAGCCAAGAACCACGAAGAGCTCCAGCTGCTATTATCCACAGCCACCACTAGTCCCTCGAAGCTCGAAACCCACTCCATGGCCCCTCCCGCGTGCATCCGGGCTCTCACATGATTCTCCCTTGTTCAGGGCAACAAGAGCTCCAGTCAGCCCAAGTCGTTTCAGAGCTTAATCTGCGCCCAGCTTCAGCTTGAGCTTCAGCTGTTCTGTTGCCTCGGAATACTTGCCATCGAAAGCAGTTTCTCTAGCTCAAGACATGCCCTGTAACACACTCTTTCCTCCGAGGCCGGCGTTGAGCCCTGCTTCTCTCTCTCTGTGTGCGTGTTGAAGAGCTTCCCGATCGAGGAATCTGATCAACCAGCCGGGATGCAGATCAAGGCAAAGACCCAAACGGCAAATGATCAACAGTGACCTGTCTGTTTTTCAGCATCTCCCCGCTCCGGCTATACATGCTTGTTATCATGGTTCAAGTGATCAAGTCCTGGTTCGGTTACCATCCGTGCTGCGAACCCTCTGCTGTCTTAGATTTGGTCGATTGGGTGGGTGAACAGAGAGGGCTTTTGTCTCAAGTCGGCTGTTTGCGTCCTCGGCATCTACGAGTTTGCCGACTCAAGGCGCCATGGCCATTGAATACATGGGCAATGCGTATGAAAGATTTACGCGTGAAAAGAGTGTGCGAATGACTGCGTTGTGAGACAAGCACATAGCTTCTACTAATACTACTACTACTACTACTACTCCTAAAGGTCGTCGTAGTCATTGGCATCTTCACGTAATTTGTCACTACATGTGATGCCTGATTTGCGACAGACAGGAGAAGGCTTGTTTCAATATCCTCTCCCGCCCTCCATCTCACGACGCCTTCACCGCACTTACACTACAACCCGTGCCGGTGTGCCCGCGTCCCGGCTGATGCGGGAAGCAAACGGCTGACAAGTATTCCCGCTCGCAGGGTGGCATGACTGACTGAATGCCCTGCCCTGGTTGAAACAACACGCAAGCTTGTTCTTCTTTTCCTATCAGTGAGTGGCTGCCGGATCACGCCCGCTTACGAGTCGTGCATGAGGGCACAGCGCTGAAGGAATCCCCAGCGCAAGAGAGGTCGAGAACCAGTCAAGTCTTGCTCGGGCTTCCAGAGGGCGAGAGACCCCGGTCGGATCGCTGCGTCACGCGTATCGAGGTCCATCTATACGCGCTCTCGCCTCATTCTCGCGACAATGTCGACAGATGGTGAATGACCATCTTTTGTAGCAATCTTGTATCCTCCAGGCCCTCTGGAAGACACCGCTGAGGGTGTGGTGGCTTATCATCGAAAGCGGCAGCCCCCGTTTGCCTTTTGTTCGCTTTCTTTCTTCTACTATCGTCTCCTCTCGATCCTCCCGTCATATGTCCAGGGATCAGGCCAAATGCCGCTGTGGCCAGAACGGCTCCGGCACTTGGAGCGTCACATTGTGCATGCAGCTTTTTTTTTTCTCTCTCTCTTCTCTCAGGGAGTCGAGCATACCCTTGTCTAGTGGACTGGAGCCCTCTTCTTCAGGTTGGGCACTGGTTCGATGAGTGACTGGATTGATTATAATCCCTGACCAGAGAGCCAATGGCGGCGATGCAAACGACACGAACCCGATCTCTCTGCCAGATTATGATCAAGAAAGAGGAAAAAAAAACTTCTCTGTTGTCTTCTTCTTCGTCCTTCCATCCACTCCTCGTCACCCTTTTCTCGTTCGTTTGTAGACCCAGCTTGTCCTTTCTGGGCGAGCCATGCAATGCAGTCTTCCCCCCTCTTCCCCTTACAAATTGAACACGGAGGGCAGCCTGACGCGCGAAACCACCAGCAATGTGTCAAAACTATGTGCGTGCCTTGATGGCTTGTGATGCTAGTCAAGGGGCACAGGAACGTGAATCGACGCAATGGGAATGGAGGCAACAAGCCATGCCCCCCCAGCTCTGCAAAGTTTTGCGCCTTTGTTGAAGAATACGAGGCTCCCCTCCATGTAAAAGTGAAGAAATCTTGGTAACAAGCATAACAACAAAGAAAGCCACGGGGCGAAGAGTCATCACACCTCATCACATACAGGGACTCACAAGCCAAACCAGTAGGTACTTGACTCTACTCGGCGGCTACAAGGGCCCTCGGTTTAGTCCCAGGTGAAGAGGGTAGCATGACTGGCAGCCACGTATTCAAGCTTCACGCCCCAGCTCCCGGCAATCGACTCAGGCAAGACCCACCATCCCTTTTCTTCTCTGCTTGATGAGACAGGTCGAGACACGCCATGTCTGGATCGACGTCAGGCAAGAGAGGGAAAGTCGGGCGTCTTGCCGAGCCCTTTGTCGTGCATCTGCCGGGAAGCACCTTTTTGGCGCCTATTTTTGCTTGCTTTTTTTGTGATGAGGGAGCTTGAGTATAAGTCGATAGCTGCCCCCCCCCTCTTGACGTCCCGCCTCTCCCTCTCTCTTTGTTCGTCTTACACTGTTAATACTCTGCGCGATCTACCCAACTGGTTGCTTTTTCTTTGAATAAACAAAGTGCTTCACCTTGAGACTTCTTCCTTGTCGACTCCTCTCTATCTTACTCTGCTATCCCTCCCTGCTGGTTGCGTGACAAGGGTCTCCAAGTGGGCGTGAAGCAGCATCGACATATCGATATACACGGCTGCTCGAGAACCTACAAAGAGCCGCTCGAGACCTGCCACTTCAGCATACAATGCGCCGGAGCTCGTCCTCGTCATCCATCAGTTCACAGTGGTCCACCGCAAGCGAAGACACTGAGCTCGGCCAGCTCACCTCCATCGTCCCGGTTGCCTCCAGCACAACCGCCGCAACAACAATCACCTCGGCAACAACTACCACAACAAGTTCGACCAGCAACTCTTCCATCATCTCATCATCTGCCTCGGTAGCAGCAACATCAAACAGTAACAGTAACAACAACAACATGCCTGAACGCCGCCCCTCGATGCTCGACTACGATGAGCGCAGCCGCCAGGGAAGCACATGCTCTGTTCGCAGCTGCGGCGGCATGAGCGCCGATGCGACGCGGGAGCTGTGGAAGACGATGCTGGAGCTCCAGGAGCGATACGGCTGCTACACTTCGGCCAGGATGGACATGGCTGTTGGGGCCGGCGACATGGCCCTGTCTCTTATGCGTAAGCTGGAACTGCCGGGACCAGACGGTTGCGTCGGAACAGAGAACTAATGAGAGCTGACTTGAACTACCAGCGAATCCATTCATTCTGGACACCCTAAACGACTCTGTCGTCGATTTGCCCGATGAGGGCTGGGAGATGCTCAATCGCTGCCTTCAACAGCCCAGGCTTTAGCAAAGGTCGACCGACACCCACACGACAGTCATCACTTCGACTGTGATGACCTCATCTGGATTGATTGTAACGCGGTAGATGAGGACGACACGATGGGTATTGTTTTCTCAACAAGCAGGAGTTTGGGACCATGACAAAATGTCGGGGCAAAGCACTTGGGTTTTCTTCAATTCATCCTTCTCACAATCATGTCTCTTTTTCTTTTTTCTTTTTTCCGTTCTTCCATTATTTCTCACGATACCCTGTCCTCATTTACATGGAATTATTTTGAGCAAGAAAGATCCAGGCCCATTGCCAGCATACTTCAAGTACATAATGCAACCACAAGTACAAATTCAGCACAATATATCATCGATATCATTACTGAGCCGTTCAAACAGAGAATCAGGCGACATGTTTTCATGCCATGTTACAGTGCATGCAACGATGCCACCTTGACATAGAGCAATATCATGCCGTCGGCTCATCGCGTGCCCGTCCATCACAGCGTTTCATCCAGCAGCGCATGCGTTACATTGCCCATGGCCCTCGTCTGGATCTTCATGCTCTCCAGCACCCTCGCCTTGACCTTGTCGTCCTCGATATCCATTCCTACCATCAAGCCATGTGTCGATTTGAACTCGTAGGCCTTTAAGATCCCCCACATTCGGTGAATCTCGTCTGCGCTCAGGGGGATGTAGTTTGGAATGCTCCACAAGAAGGAAAACGAGTTCATGCCAGGCGGCTTCTCCCTCTTCTCTCCTAAGGCATCGACGTCCCACTTGCCCAAGCCCGCGGGAGTCGTCATCAGAGTATCTGCAGTAAAGAGCCTCCCGTCAAACAGAAGGACCAAGGATCCGGGGAAGTGCCCTCCCAGCTTGACGGCCTTGACTCCAGGCACAATCTCCGACTCGATCTCGGTGAGGGGCTTTCGGTGGGCGGAGGGCGTCGTCGTCCAGCACAAGTCTTCGGCGGAGAGGTACACAGGACATCGAAACGCCCTCGCCCACTGGATGTGCGTGCTGTAAAAGTGCGGATGGCTGATAACAATTGCCTTGAGCCCCCCAAGCTGTTTGATCCTGTCAATCGTCTCGTCGTCGACAAGCGTGATGCAGTCCCAGAGGATGTTGCCGTCGGGAGTCCGGATCAAGATGGCTCGCTGCCCAATGGCGAACCGCGGCTCTGTGCGAATGAAAACGACACGCTCGTCATGCTGATATGACATGAATTCATTTCGATGTCCCGTGGCGCGGATGTCGGCCAGTGTAGTGAAGGATTGTCCTGACGGCGGCACGTACTGACGAGGATCGTCACAGATGGGACATGTCTTGAGGGCGGAACGATCGGCAGTCGGGAATTGAGTGCCGCAGGTGTTGCAGATCAGCCAGGACGAAGAGACGTTGTCGTCGTAGGGCTCGGGAGTGAAGTCCATGATGCCGAAGGTGCTGGTGGCGATGCCTTGGGGGGGTGAATGAAGATGGTGGATTTGCCGTTATTGTTATAGATGTGACTTTATAGGACGGCGCGGGGTTGAAGATTGGGGTCGCCAGGCTTCAGTCGACAAGTACAGTAGGCGATGACTTCGGATCCACGGGGACTTCTGTAATGGTGAGGCTGTATTGATTTGCAGCTTGACAGTAGAATTCGAGTTTCGAAGAGTTGGATAGTGGAAAGCCTGTAGGTAAGGCTCAAACGGAGCAACTGAAGCCGCCGTATTACTCTAAAGGCCCGCTTCTCTACTCATTATACTAGCTGTCTAGAGCTGTTGAAGGCATCAGACCAAATATCCATCGATGATCCTCGCCGTCAATTGCTTCGACTACACGATATAAAACACCTCACGTGCTTGAGCCTGCCATGACATCATGAGCAACGCCAAACGTCATGGCCAAACCAGAGCCCGGAGAGATGTCAAAAGGGTGCAGATCCAGACAATCGTCAGCATCAACTTCAGTTATTTCCCACCCATCTATAGATAGAATGCCGAAATGGCCGAAAAGGACAATTTTTTCTTAGTCCCGAGGTCACGGCTTATCAATGCGCTGATGATGGTGTACAACCTCTTAACCTACCTAGGTTTGAAGAGAACGACACCGCATCCGCCATGAAAAGATGAGAAACGGCCATCTTGGCTGAGAGACAAGTAAGCTTGCTCTTCTCGACATCACCATTTTCTCAGACGGACGAGTTTGTGGATATAGTTGCATCACTGTTAATAAAGAATTCGTGTCACCATGTCTATCAAGAACTGTGAATTCCAGGAGCAGTTCCTCAGATACGTGAGGTCTTTCGTCCGTATCTCCGTCTAACGCGTAATTGGGCAAGCTCAGGTAGAGTTGGGTACTCCCATATCAGGTCTATGATCTTGACGGTCTTGTAGATGGATGCAATCAGCCCTTCTGTATGGCCCTGAAAGCTAAGCGGCATATTCGTAGTTGATGACCAAACTTCGACCGAAGTAATCCAGAACGAATAGTGATTGGAAATATAGACTGTTCGTCCGTGGACGAATCTCTGTAATTTCAACCGTGCAGACGTACGAATCCCACAACGCTACGGACCATTCGTCCGTGACCCGTGCGACGGTTCCAAACATTCGGAGGAATTCACGTAGAACAGTTTACGAGCGTCTTCAAATTCTGCATCCAAGAATGACATGTCCACAAGATGCTATGCATGCCAAGAGGATAAAACGCCTTCCTCCCTCGCCTCTCGTCTCTTATCACACCTCTCAGGTTGACACGAACCACGCTCCATCCAGACTCAACCCAACACAACGCAGCTCCTACTTACACAATGCCTCAAACAGTCTGGTTCATTACAGGCACAACATCAGGTATTGGCGCTGCCCTCGTCAACCACATTCTCTCCCGCGGCGACAAAGTCATCGCCTCAGGTAGAAACGTGCAAAAGAAACTCAACCACCTCAAGTCCCAGCCGAACGCCTTTCTACTGGAACTAGATGTGGCAGCAGAGAAACTCATCATCGAAGCTCAAGTGAAGAAGGCCTGGGAGGCGTTTGGGCATGTTGACGTCCTGATCAACAATGCGGGCATGTCCGCTCTGCGGACTGCAGAGGATGCCGAGTATGTTCCCTCCATACTTACCTTTCCATCTGGCATACAATTTGCACCAATATGAACTAATTCATCACCACTCTCACCATCATCAGCGACACCTTTGTCAACACAATCTTCCAAGTCAACCTCTTCGGCCACCTCCACATGTCGCAAGCCATCCTGCCCTACTTCCGCGCCCAAGGCCACGGCACAATCGCATTCACCTCGTCCGGCTGCGCCTGGGGCGCCCTCCCTTACCTGTCGCACTACTGCATGACAAAGGCAGCACTGAGTTCCTTTGCAGAGAGCGTTCACAAGGAGGTTTCCCACATGGGCATCAAATGCGTTGCTTTTGATCTTGGTGGCTTTCCAACTCGTCTGGCGCAACCTCGTGATGGGGATGACGCTGCTGGTGATTCGGCAGTAAACCCAGATGAGGTGTCGTTCCCTGAATCACCAGTTTCTGAGCCTTATGCAGAGACTTTTGGAGAGTATCTCAGCCTCTTCTTGCCGGACCCAAGCTGGACCATTCCAGGAGACCCCAACAAGGCGGCGTCTGCAATGGTGGACGTTATCCGGCGCCAGGGAGCGGCAGCGGGTCGTCCCTGGGCAGTTCGCGTGGTTCTGGGATCGGACTGCTTGACCTATGCGAGGAAGAGGCGACAAGAAGAGCTCAGGCTCCTGGAGAAGTGGCAGGATGTGAGCTCGAGCACTGATACGAGGGAATTCGCGTTGAAGCCCGAGTACGAGAAATACATTGTTGTTGCAGGACTAGAAGAATGAGTGCCTTGTTGCCTCTCTATATCTCGAGAATAAACAAATCTTTACGCATCTACTCTACTCAAAGTGCATCTACTCTACTCAAAGTAGACTACGTCACACATCTTACCAACAACAACAACTCCATCACTGTTCGCTCCCCTTGACGGCCGCCTCAATCTCCTCCGCAAAGCCCTTCTCCCACTCCTCCTCCGCAACCTCAGGAACCCACCCTAGCACCTCCCTCGACAAGTCCGCATTCGTAACCGACCTCGACGCAAAGCCCAGCTCCAGATACTGCTCGACTCCGCCCGGCGTGTCCTTTGCCAGCTCCGCCAGCCCAATCGGCCGCGCCTCCGCCTCCTTCAGCACGCCGGCCGCGAAACCAGCCTTGGCCAGGCCCTCGGAGGCCTGCCTCCACGTGTGGCGTCCGTGTCCACCAAAGTAGATGCCGCGTCGTCCGGAGGGCACAGTGGAGGCATTCGCAAAGAGCTTCTCCAGGAGCAGCTCGTACATCTTGCTCGTGTCGTCGATGTGGACGTGATCCCACACTCCCTTGCCCTCGCCAATGTACTCCGCATACCCCTTCTTGACAGCCCTTCTCGCCAAAAAGGGAATCTGGATAGAGCGCTTGTTGAAGGGTCCCTTGCCGGTGCCGTAGATGGTCGGGTGCATAAGGATGTACGTCGGCACGTTGAACTCTTCGCCTGCTTGGACGACGGTCACGTCGCATGTTCGCTGGGGGTATTTCTCGTGCTCTTCGCGCTTGAGCTCGTAGGCGTAGATGTCTTGCGTCTTGTCGTTGAATTCAAAGGGGGCGTCTTCTTCGGTGTAGATCTTGCTGACGGGACGGTTGCCAACGCTGGAAGTGCCGGATGTCTGTATTGTAGCCGCAGGTCAGCATACGCATTCTTTTTAGTGTCAAAGAGTCATTTTGTCACTTACATGGATGTACCAGACCGGACCGCCGGTAACCTTCTTCCTCTCTGCTAATCCCTCAATCAGCGCCCTGGCTGCCAGTGGTCGAAACGCGCTGGCCGAATTGATCACGATATCGTGCTCAGACGCCTCCTTCTTGAGGAGATCGACCTGGTCGAGGTTCTCGAACAAGACGGGCCTCATGCCCTGGGACTTGAAGTACTCTGCATGCTCGGGCTTTCGCACAAGCACGGTATACGTCAAGTTCTTGATGTCGGGATGGGTTGACTGGAGGAGGCGGGTGAGGACGGAGCCGCCACTGTTGTTTGTGTGTGAGCTCTCTGGTCTCTGCAGTATGTGAGGTCTCCAAGTTGGTGGTCAACGTACATGTATCCAGTAGCACCGGTAAGAAGAACCTTTGTCGGAGCCATTGTATGTTCTTTTTTTTTTCTTCTTCTTTCTTTTTTTGCGTGTTGATTGTGTATGTTGCTTGTAATAGCCGTCTAATGGATCTTGTTAAACTGCTGGCATGTCATTCATCTTCTCCAGGAGATTTGGCTCCCCTTATATATCAGAGCAACACCACACAACTCCCACCAAAACAACCATTTTCCAAGCCATTTTCCACGTAATGACTAATTCAACCCGACTCTTTTTCCCTCCCCTTTTCTCCATTCCTTTCCCATCAACAGTTTACACACTCCTTCTTCAGCCTTTTGGGCCGTCATCATCATCGTCCAACTTAAAGTGCGGCCATAGTTGCCTTTAGAAGCCTCCCGCGAGTGGAGCTTCTCTCCAGCCCAGCCATGGCTTTCGCCCGGGGTCCACCAACAAGCACAGAATGACATGATTTGTGTTTGCTTCAGCCAATCGAGTTTCGTCCTGGAGAGCCCTCTTGCTGAGTCATTGCATATGCGAGTGCGGGCAAAGTTGCTTCAGTTCAGCTCTTCAGCTTCTCGAAGGAGCATCCTGTTCCGAGAGAGAAAGTTGCTCGTTGGCAAAACTGATGAAGTCAACCACTTGGATACGACACTTTTAGATACGACTTATTATTATTAAGCTTGTATTGTTAGGTCATTCGAATCATTACAAATACAGAATAATGCTACATGGCTTGTACATCAACACGCTTCCCACATCTGATGCCCCATGGCAATGAGCCGGTTAAAGAGTTCATCACGCATCGTAATGGCCGTGAGGTGATACTCCTTTCCGTCCTTTGTCCGCACCACCAGTCCATCCACGACTTCTCGCCCCATGGCCCATCCCACAAGAATCTTGCTCTTCCATCCCAGCCCTCCGACCTTCCTCAGCTGGGCAATGTCTTCTATGGCAACGGTCCAGGCTGGATTGACATCCTCGATGTCCGAGGTCCAGCTCAACGCAGGGCTTGTAGCCGTTGCCGTGATGAACGCATGGCCCTTCTTGCCGCCGTATCGCGCAGGGAAGCAGACGGGGCCGGCCATGTAGTCATCGTCGGACCGTTTATCGACAGCGCCCAGGCGGTTGCGTGCATGGGTGGCACCAACGGCAGCCTTGGCCTTGTCGGCAGTGAGCGCCGTGTGGACGCCGCCCTTGGTGGTGCCCTTGAGCAGGTGGAGGATGCGGTGAGACCGCTTGGGCTTGCGCTGCTGGTTGTCATCGTCCTTGATCTCTGTTTGTGCATTGTGCAGATCGGGCTGCAGCGCCTCCCTCGCCTCGTGGTCCGAAACACCTATGGTCGAGTTAGTATATGCCATAGGTTACAAGGGTGAAGCAGCAGCGTAGGCGGAACTTACCTAGAGCATCAACCTGCTGGGCCGCCTCAGGGTCAACCTCTGGCGGCGGAGGCACGTCAGACGATGGAGGCGGAGGAATGGGCGTCTTATTCCGCTCGCCGATGCGTAGCAGGGTGATTGCCAGCTGGGCGTTTGTTGGGATGCCTCGCAGGATGGTGTTTCGCAGCTCGGTGAACTTCTCCCAGCGCGGGTATGTCCGGTTGATAAACTGCAGAGCGGGCGTGATGATGGGGTCGCCAAAGAGGACGAACCCGAAGCCGAAGCCGATGCCCTTGAGCAGCATGTACGAGGTCACGTAGAAGGATAGCAGCAAGGGGGGCACGAGACAGGCGGCCAGTGTCAATCTCGGCCTCTCGACAGGGAACGGCGGTGTCGGGCTGAGGGCATTGCCAAACCGCTCCCATGTGTCGACAAAGTCCGAGAGCATGTGCATCACAGGCCCGGTCTTGGTCCAGACCATGTTGGCGACGGGCGTCTTTGTCTTGTCGTGCACTGCATCCGTCGGCTTCCCGTCGGTGGCATCCTTGGCTTCGGCGATGTCGGTGGTGAGGTTGGTTGGATCAGGAGCCGTGTTGTCGTCGTGAGGATCCTGCTGAGGGTTTTTGCCGGCACTCGTGCTGATGATTACCTATTGAGATATTGGCAGTCAGTATCAATGAGTGGCACCTCGGTCTTATCTCAAGCAAATGGGGTGAAAGGGGTCGTACGCCTGTACATACTGATGCAATACTGTTGACAAAGCTGTGCGCCTCCTGCTCGACGCCCTCGCCCTCGTGCTTCTCGGGCGCACCCGTGACGGAGCTGTCAGAGGCAAGGACCCCAGCCGGCGGCTTCTGCGCGCCTCCCGTCTTCGAGTCGACAATCGACGGTGGCACCGGAGGAAAGCAAAAGGTCCTCGCCGGCGGATAGGCAATCAGCACCATGAAGAACACAATCACCGTGGGCACCACCAGGTCCAGCAGCCAGGCGAGGCTGTACACGGCCAGAAAGGACGCCGTTCTCTTGCTCTCCCGCCACGAACGGAGGCGGACAATGTGCTTCCACAGCGAAAAGAGAGACACAACGACTGTCATGTAGAAGCGCTCCAGCGTCGCCCGCAGCTTGTCCGGCGAAAAGACATCATCTTCCGCAACGTTCATGTCCAGGTCGGCCAGCGGCACGGTGTCGATGCTCCGAACCTCAAAGACCTGCTGGTTGAAGCGTCGAATCAAGGTCCAGAGCTCTTCGTTTCGCAGGCCGCCAACCACCGGCTGCGGAACGGACTGTGCCTTTTGGTTCCATCCAATGTTCTTCACCTCGACGTCGTCGTGCCCGAGTTGGCTGGCGCCTTTGCTCGCGGCCTGGTCGTCGGCCTGGATGCTTTCCTCTGCGAGGGCATGGCTTGCTGTTGGAACTTGCTCGTCATAGGCTTCGATTATCTCGGGCTCGCTGCCGGCTAACAGAGATGCCGGCTCGCTGCTCTGGTCGGTCGCTGCCATTGCGATTTAGAAAAGGCTGGCGAAATGAGAGGCTGTCACGAGTAACAAAAGCACAACACGATGTGATTCTGCGAAAGAAGAAATTGTCGACTCCTCCATTCCAAACAGCTCCCATCATCACTTACAGCGACCTATAGACCCAAATCGAACCGTGATCGTGATCCATATTCGTTCTACTGGGCCCTGAACTGGCCGCCTACGTCAGAGCTGTCTGGTTGAGGTCGAGAGCTGTTGACGTCAGCGACTCTGGTTTAGGTGAGAGCAGGAGGCGGAACTGGCGTTGATCAGCGAGATTTGCCTCTGAGGCTGGATACAAGGTGAGCAGGTACATAGTTTGAGCAGTTTGAGAGCAGTTACTAGTCTATCTTGCTACTATTTTGGAAGCAGACACTTGATTCTATGATGGAAAACAGGGCATGGTAGGCAGGCTTAGCCGGTGGGGAGCTGAATGTTAGCTTCACCGAGAACGGCGAGGGCTGAGCCTTGATGATGTCCGTAACCAAGTCAAAACAACAGACACCCTGGACAGTCGTAGTACTAGTATCAAGGCACGAGCCGCTATATGCCAATCGGCCACGCAATTGACTTTCGGTCAAGATTCATTCCGAGCGTATATATATATAGCGATAGTTCCCTGTAGAGTCCGACAGGAATTTTACCACTATTACTCCTCCCTCCTCATCCCGAGGGGGAAGCCGAGCTTCAACTTACACGTCCTTAGTAGGCACATGTACTCAGTGTAACCTACGAACGGCGGTACAGTCAGTTCATTCATTACCTAGGTACAAGTAGTCAATATGCAAATTCGCATGTCCAGAATCTGTACGGGCGATAATTCCATTGTAGTCCAAGTAATAGGCAATTTTCGTCAATTACTACCTTCTTACACCACAAGAATTGGTGCTCCATATCCGGCTGATGATTCTCTCTTGTGGTGAACATCTCGTCCTCTATCCTATGGCAGACGATACACGCATTCAGTGCTCTTTATCGGCCGACCTTGGTGGAATGAGGATAGGACCGCGACCGGGTAGCTTTGAGACCGAGGCATAACCACCGGAATGCTGGCTGGATTCCGTCGACAATGGCCTCAACGGCTGCGGATAATATTAGTACAGCAACCAATGCACATCACTGCAAAAGATCCATCACCACAATCCGAAGGGATGCGATTGGCCTATCAAGCACTCATCACGCGGTGCATGCAAAGGCAAAGACACGGCAAGGGTCGCCGTCGGCCTGCAGCAGACGGACAAGTCACCTCGCATATGTAAGGTATGCTTCCCTTGCGCTTCACAACCAACAGCACTTTGGGCCTCGCATCTGGCCGCGAGAGGCGCCTTGATGCCCGGTGTGCTAAGTATGTATGTATTACTACTCTTGGAGCCTCAAGGAGCCTTTCTTCCGCCTCTGGTGGTATGGAGTACCCTCCGGATGTATCCGTAGCCCAAGCCACGGATCTGGGCACCGATCGTTAACAGGGCTTAGTAGTGTTACGCTGCGTGGGTTGTTAGCTCGTGGTAGGGCTACAGCCATCAAGGAACATCTGCGACAACAGCACGGAGGATTTGGCATCTCCACGGACCCCCGATTGAATCTCATCTTGCGATCTCGGGTTAGTGTTTCTCGCGTAGCGATCGAGACGGTTCTATGGCCATCAGAGCCAGGAAGTCGGTTAAAGTAAGACAAGGCCAGAGCAGTAGCAGTACTAGTGCTAGTATCGTGACGGGCACCAGAGATCCGCGGTTAGGCAACGAGGGAGAGCGCGAGAGAGTGGGAGAAAACAACAAAATCTGAGGAGACAACAAGGTCACGAAGCGATAGGGGGCCAAGCCTTTCTTCTTCAGGAATAGCGACCCTAATTCTTGCATTAAGATGGGGGGATTTGCGCTGCGGGTATGCCAGGGTTTGTTCACCGTTGGGCTTAGAGTAGGTAAGATCGTGAAGAGGGCTGTGGCCTGGGCTCCGGGGTAAACGGTCCTTGAGACATTGTACGCGATGATGTTATGCTTCAATCATGAATCTATCTTTGATAGCAATGCAGCCATGCGTGTAGCTGCCCATGCTAGGCCTCTGAAGATCCTTCGCCCCCTCTTACACCGAGTCCTTAGGCGCAAAATATCATACACGGTGCAGCCATATACCACTACATCAAGTCGAGACATGCAAGACACGGGCACTCCCGAAAACAGCTCAGTGAGACAGAAAGGATGGAAGACAAGGAAAGAAACAAGATAGTATTATGATAGAGCATATTTCATGGAACTCACTAAGGTTGTCGACTGGTAGGTAACCTGGTTTCTGGTATCGTGGTGTTGTCGGGTCTCGCAAGAAGCAAATCCAGGTGTTGCCTCATACGGAATTTCCCACGTTCACCAGCTATCAACGTGTTATTTCCATGCTAGCAATAGAGCTAAACTGTGACTACACTGGTAAGCTGGTTTTGGCATGTTTGTAGTTTTTGGACGCCAGCCCAGGTCATGAGCATCACACCGCTGAACCGTACGGGGGAGCGAGGGACCAGAGATGGAGCCGTAAAATGAGCCCTACGGGGCAAAGAATGCTACTCAGTGGGGTGAAACATGAATCAAAAAGCCCTCTCTCGTGTGTAACCATCGACGTGATGCCCAGGATCCAGGACCTGGTGCTTGATATGCGAAGGCGGGAGCCACTTGCAGCATGGAGGCGCAACGAGGGTTCACCTGGTATCCGGAGTACAGAGATGTAGTATGTACAAGGAGTATCTGCAAGCAAAGACAAATCTTTTGCTGTATACTCCAGCCATAGGAGCTGTGGCTGGTGATGGTGATGGTGTCGGTACTCTGCAGAGATATGCTACGATGGCTCTGGTTCACAGCTTCCTCTCGTCTAGAATTCCAGTACGGCAACTCGTCACTTGCCCATTCCTTTTTTTCCCTTTTTTTTTCTTTCCTTTTCTTTTTTTCCTTTGAGCAAGGCCATATTATTCCAGTGGATCTCTCGTCGGTCGCCCACAGTTTGTCTAACTAGTTCATGTCAAGCCTTCTCCACAAAGCATCACGAAGCCGCTGAGACAACGCTCTCCGGAAGCTCAACCCTTTGCATCCGGCGCCATGAATTCAGCTTCAAATGGCCTTGGAACCGGTCTATTGACTTTTAGTCGTCATGAGCTGCATTTTTTTACATCACGGTTTCAGCCATGCGGTGCTGGCACCATTGAGAATGATTTCTCGACAAGGGGAGTACGCCTCCAGTCGAGTGGCTTCTCTCGACTCCTGGAGTACGCCCGCCGTCGAGAAACCCTCTTGATTCGAACTCAACATGGGCAGCGTAATGCTGTGAGACAGTCAAAAATTGCTTTAGAAGAGACGGCAGTTCAGGATGGATTTCGAGATTTGGAAAGAAGGAGGTTACTTTCAACAGACAGGGTTACCGTGACGAACAATGCAGTGGTCAAAGAACAAGTCAGAACTACACCCGTATTTCCCCTTCAGTAAATGCCCCCTGGTTCAGGCGCAATTTGCCGAGTATCTCAAGTCAACCCCGAACAAAAAGCACATCTCGCGGGAGGAAAAGTGGAAGCTGGTGGCATGGCTCGCCGACCCCAACGCCAGGCCTACGTGCCAGAAGGACTACAGTCGCCGCAACTACGCCCAGAAGACGTACAGATGGGACGAGAACACCCAGAAGCTCTTTGCCATACCGAAGAAGGACAAGACCGGGGATCGCATTGTCATCACGGAGGATGAAATCCTCAGGGTGGTGGAGAGTGTGCACACGGTAGACCATGGAGGGTGGGATGCAACCTGGGAAAGCGTCAGCAAGAAGTACTGCGGCATCGTCCGGTCCGACATCATCTTCCTCGTCAAGAGATGTGGCATGTGCATCATTGACCCCCGCAAGAGGGCAAAGGGGGTGCAGGCCGAGTCCCCTGGCTCTGCTGAGGCTTCGGCGTCTCCTGAGGCTTCTGCTACGGCTGCTTCTGTGGCCTCTGCTTTTGCTTCGGCTCCTGCTCTTAATCCTGATCCGTTGCTTCCAATGATGCCCCTGGCCTTCAGTATCGACTTCCGCGATTTCCTGCCTGAGGAGTATCCGTATGACGAGTATCCATATGTCGACAACGACGGCCAAAACGAGGGCAATGACGCGATTGCACTCTGGCAGGCGCCATCGTGGCAGCAGGAGGAGTGGCAGCAGGAGGAGTGGCTGCAAGACATTATGGCCATCGATCCCTCCCTGCTCGACATTACTTACGGAATCCTGATGGGCGAGCCTTCGGGTAGCAGCAGCAACAACAACGCTTACCCCGGCTACTATCTCCAACAGTAGCTTGTGGAAACACGACTCCACGCGCCGCCACCGATCGAACAGAGTTGGGCAACAAGTTGACATGGTGCTGTGGAGGAAGTCTAGGCGGATGCATCGTCAGTGTTTTTGGGGGGTGTTCAAGCTCCCAAGAGAGTCTTGATGGGTCATTGTCATCCCAGTTTAGCATTGTTGGGCTGCTTGGGGCGTGGGATAAAGGGATTTGGGCGTGGGATAAAGGGAAAATCCTTGGGCTTTCTTTTTTTCTTTTGTGTGTGTGTCTCTGTGTGTTTTCTGTCACTCGTTTTTTTGCAATTAGTTATGACTAGGATGACCAGATTGTTACCTCAATTGGATTGTTTTGTTTCTGATCTCCTCTTCCATGCGTCTTGACGATGGAGACTCTCCGCTGAAGACTGCTGCTGAAAAAGTTTGACAGTTTCCACTCAACACGTCGTCGTGGGTCTTGCTCCATGTCAACCCGACGCGTGAGCCCCCTGGCGGATTGTCTCTGCACGATCCGTGCTGTCAAACCTGCCAGGGAGGGTATCCATACTTATACCTTGATGGAGGTCTGAAGACATGAGAAGCAAGGGCCAGGGCCCCCATGATGATGGAGGAGTCTGGTGACCACACTCTCCAGGGGGTGGTGTCTGCGAGCAACTTGATCAGAGGCGTACGCGCGCAGACAATAAGATCCAAGGGCGGTATGTCAGAGTCTCCCCAAGGTAAATGTTGGGCAGGAGAGATAATAACAGGAATGTAGCATTCAACGACGGGAGTGGGCAAGGGGGAGGGGTGTATGACTGCCAAGCATGTCCAAGGGCTTCCAAAGCGGATGTTGAAGAGAAGGTTCAAGTTCCATGGGATCCTCTCCCGGGGGGAACGAGGCCCTTTATATCCCTCCATCCTCCTCACACAACCTCTCGGTTTCCCCCCTGAACCATGTGACTCAGGGGGGTTCGGGCTCACATCGCTCCGTGCCATGACACGTATCGTGCTGCAGGCTATGGACGCAATTGGCGAGGCTCGGAATAGTTACACAGACGCTTGCCCATGTGTAACTTGACATCTTACGAGAACTGGTCGTTTTCAGCCTATAAGGGCGGTTGGCCGGTCACCCCCTGAGTGACTCCTGGGACTGAGGCCTGGGAGAGAGACTGGGGACATCCTCCGGAAAGGACTAGCCTCGTGTTCCTGAGATAACGCCCTCCGGGTATGTTGAAGGCTGGGAATGCTGGCTTTGATATGTCATCAGAGCTGAGCGCACGGAGGTTGAGAGAGTGGCCGTGTTCGTTGTGTCGTATCGACGTGATGCAACCCTCGAGAGTCGCTTTTGGCAAGTGTAACATGATTGTGGCATTCCTTTGATTTCGATTGGTCTAGAACGCGTGATTGATACGTTTACAGCTGAACAGTATCCTGGAGCCAGCTTATCTTTAGGGATCGCAATCTCCTCATTTTGTGGCAATTGGGAATGCTGAAGGATGTAAGCTACTCAGATCATTCAGGCTGTAGTATCTTTCTACAGCTGTGGCCTGACCCTTGTTTGTCTCTGCCATATGACAGCCGGTCAGGGGTACGGATTACTCCAATATTGACCAGGGATCGGGGACGGTAAGTCCACAGGAGTGGAATGTGGGAGGCGTTTCCGTACAGAAGAATACAGACCATTGAAGCTACCTGGAGACCTGTTGAAAGTCCCAGTTATCTATGTGGTTAGGAATTTGAAATGTCAGTTACTGTTAATGAACCGACGGACCGTTGTGGCATACATAAGGTAGAAGATGTTTATGAATAAAGACCGAGATTGTGGAAAGCTCGTCCCTTGCCTGCGCAGAGCACATGACCAGCATTCCCCAAAATCTGCCAAGAAAGAACTTTACTCCTAATGGCATATCTTGCAGGGTCTGTGTACTTAGAGCCGCTTCTTCTTCAAGGAGACTCCTCCTTAGGAAGACAGAGAGCAGCATCTGTAGCCGTTGTAGACCTTGATTGCTCGCGGCAGTAGCTCTGTTATGAATTGGCAAATAACCTATCAGAATCAATCGATCCATGCCGACTTCATTGATACGAGGGCATGTAATGACGGAGTATGATGGTCATCACGATAATTACAAGGGAGGCGAAGAGGCTGCAGTACTTGACGCTATCAGATTGATAAAGAGAACCGACTGCAGCTATGATATATATCAAACAAGGATTATATCACACACTAGTCTTCATTTGCAAATATTAGACTACCAGAAACATAATATCAATGTATTCCAATAGCCTTTCTGCAGCGAGACCCCGTTAAACGCAGATACGCTTTCGTTCGCGGTATTTGCTCGGACTTGAGCCCCTGAGACTACAATCAGGGCAATCAGTACGAGGTGTGAGTTCCGACAGGGAAGATACATCAAGTGGTAGACGATAATAAGAGGAGTAGTAAAATGCCAGGAAAGTAATTGAGTATTGATTCTTGAAGACTAAACATATTCGTGGCTCAAGTCAGCCTCCTCTCATTCCGACCAGAGCGTGTCCGCTCTGCAGCCCATCGTGCCAACTGGCATGTGCCAACCACATGTTCCCTTACTCCAAGTAGAGTACAGAGTAATAGCCGAGAAATTCACGTCGAGGTCGACAGTCGTCGGCTCCTTTTCATAACTGGGCAACAGTGCCAACCCCAACAGCGCAGCATCCGGCACTCAATGCTTCGCAAATCTCGCAATAGCATGTTACATGATGCTCGTAACATGAAGATCAACGCATGCAGCTGACCTCTTATAGAACGTATACGGGATGTCACTTCTGTGCATAGTCGAAAAGACTGAGAGTTCCCACGAATGCACTTCCGTCCCATGATGCCACTTGAACTGAAGCAGGCTTTTATGAGCAGTGGCAAATTACATGGCAAATTACATATCATTGGTCAGTATCACACAATCGAGATAAGTTGCAAACGGTTGGAAGCGCGCAGATAGGAGGATGCAGCCTATCAAGTACGTAGAAGACGTCTTCCTCTGATTTTGGAGTTAGATGTCTCGGAGTTTCCGTGCCAATATCTCGAAGGTCGGTGAATAGGTGAACAAAGCATCCTCGTAGCTAGTGAGGAGACAAGGATGCATTTTTCTTAGAAAAAAGTTCCCTTTAAGCAGCAATGAGACTAGACGACCAAAACCCAATCACCATCAACGAACGAGTTGAAGGCAAAGTCACTGTAAGGTGCAGCTCCAACCTGTTAAATATTGGCAGCAGTTAGGGCGCTCAAGGGAAACTTTTAGCTTCTTCCAAAGAAGTAACGTTTATAATCCAGAGGAGGGTCAACCAAGATGATCGACCTGTACGTAGCTCTCTTGGCCAGAGCAGCACGATTCCCCCACGTGAGCAAGGGGATAATACATAATGAAACCCGCACCAGCCGACTGTCCCGTGGCCGTCACATTATCAAGATCTCCCCCTGAATCTGGCAAGGTTTCCCTACGCCGTCTACAAAGCAAGGCGCTGGTCTTGCAAGCCGATACTAGCTGTACCGTATGCATGGTTGGAGGGCTCTGCGAGGAAGCCAAACGGGCTGATGCGGCAGTCCATGGCGGTCCAGACAAGGCCATCGCTGCCGTTTTGTTGGGAAGCAGAGATGGTGTCGTTGGGACTGCCCAGGACCATTTTTTTCCACTCACCCATTTACCTCCCTAGAAGTTCAATCAGCCAGGCTCGCGCAAAAGTGAGAACTGGATTCCACTCACACATCATCACGATTGAAGCCTCTTTGCCATGTTTCCTTGTTTGCAGAGATATCTTTGGGAAAAATCACATCAATGATCAGGCAGTCCTCTATGGTTCGAGGATCGACCGGCTGCGGATTGTTGTTTGCAATTGCCTCAGCCTCGGTGAAGTTGACCGACACTGTATGATATTGCTCGATGAACTCGACATTCAAAATCAACAGTTGAGGAGCTGGACTGGTTAGTAGCTTGAGCTGCCAGCGCAAACGTGAAAAACAAAAAGCCATCATCTGATGCGTTGTAAGAGTGATGTTGACCCTGATAGAAAGCGATGAAGCATGTAAGGCTGAGAATGTGCGTCACCACATACCTAAAGAGTGGGTTTCCTTCTGTTCGATTGAAGATTTTTGGCCTTCATCGATATATTGCCTTCTAAGTATCAGTCAACTCACGAGTATAGTTGTCTTGATGACGGACTATTTCCCGCAACAACAGTCCATCCTCAACCGAAATTCCCCATCCCAGCATCAACTCACTCCGAAAGCGGCATTACAGGTTCAGGGGCGCAGTTAAGCATGTCATGATCAACATACCGTGATACAAACTGATAAGCTAAGCGTTTACAATCGGAAGCCAAATATCTGCTCCTGGCCATCTCCTATCAATGTGTCAGCTGCACAGCTGTGTCATGATGTGGATAACAAAGTTCTTCGGAAATTTCCAGACCCTTTCACGTAACAAGGGCCATCTTCTTTAGTGAGAACATGAGAGCTTGCACTAAATATCAGGCGCAGTCGACCCCTTTGCACAACGCAACGCTGAGCGCGTGATATCCCCAAGTGTAAGTAGGCAGCGGTTGAGATGTGTCACCAAGTATGTGTTTGTGCCGTCTTTCGTTCCATGCTTGCGTGAAAGTATCGTCTTGATTCTCTCATTGATGATGGTGCCCTGAAAGGTGGAAAGGTGTAGCTGTCTTGTGTTGATCCCTCCAGGGCAGCAACCCACAAAGGTTTTCTCAGCCAGACGATGACCTCTTTCACTCCAACAGACCACGATAGGACACTTCCTGACTACATATTGCTTACATGATACACGTTCTGTATTAATCGCCCATTACTCGGGCATGGCCACACTCATGCTCACCTATGTTTGTAGTGAAGTCTTGATGGCATATGTGGTTCAGCCCTCAATGACGACCTTGGTCGATACTCCCCATGGCAACCCCAACACCAGAGTAACCCTCTCTCCATCTAGACACCCATCTAAGCCACCACCCCAAGTCCAAACAGTCCATTCGCCATCCACGAACCAATTACTCTCAAAAACCAACTCCCACAGTATCACAACTTCCAAGCACTCTCCTCCAATGAGATCAAACCCCTACATCTCCAGACACAACATCAACCACAACACATGCCACCACGTAACCCATCAACCAGACAGCCCCATCACCCTCATCACAGTCACACAGCCCGTCTAACCACCCAACCAACGCCTCTCCTTCCCGTGACTCCGAGTCCCCTCTTCGAACAAATTCACCGACGCAATGCCAATCCCGCTGCATCTACCCGCACCCAAACAGCCCACGAGGAGGTCGTTAGGGCTGTGATACTCATTTGCCATGTAACGGACACAGACACAGGCACAGTACAGAGCACATGTCAAAGCATGGGAACACGCTCTGCGTTACAAGGTTTCGAGTTGATGACGGCTTGTCATCTGTGCTCTGGCCTGCAACACGGAGAAGTGGTCCGATTCCCCGCTTGGCAGAGAATCGAGGGGAGATTTGGAGTCGGACGAAACATGCACTCTTACGGAGATACGTCTTGCGTGTCTAGGTAATGTGCTACGACTCACGTAGACGTAGGTCTAACTCAGCATGGAGAACGGGGGATGCCATTCGCTGTCCCAACGAAGAAGCGAGCCCAACGGCAATGATGATAAGTATGATGGCTCGTAAAGAACGAAAGATGGACAAGACGCAATGCTCAACATTCTATTCACATCCTAGTATATCACGATTTCAAGCACAGCGTTCTTGTCAACGCCACGTGGTCAGCCCAAGCCCACCACGTTCAACACCACTGTCACCAGTTTCATCCAAGTACAAACCCCTTGACAGACAAACAGAAGAAAGCCTTACCGAGATCAAACGAAAAGCAAAGACAAAGAAGATCAAGTACACACGGCAGATGGCATATCTGGTCTATAAACATAAGACAAAAGGGGTGCAATGTGAGACGATTGAATAAAGAAATGCCAGTATAGACGAAACGGACAAGCACCCGCTTCCCGACGCGGTGCGACCCGGTCTCGCTAAGAACGTGGAAAAGTGCATGTTCCACGCGAATAAATACTTTTCTTGTATGCGACTCCTTCATTTTGGTCCCGTCGGAATGAGGCATGTGCAAGGTATACTTTAGGTAGGTAGTCGGCGATGTTGCATGGAGGCGGAGTGTACATGTAACTGCCGAGCCCAGCATCGTGATGATGCATCGATGGAACATGTACCCGTAGGACGGAATCAAAGAATTACATTTCATCGGGATAGACGCACATATAGGCATGCTGCATTCAATTCCTTCAACGAAAATCCAAGTCAAGCAAATCCAACTTCTGCTACCGCTCGTCAAAAAGTCCGCTGTGTACAAAGCGGGCCGCGAATACGAAGAAGCATTTCGACGTTGACTTCCAGTTCTTGGGCAACGCACTTTGCCACTTGGGTACAACTCCCGCTACCAATCTCTCCAATTCTCATCATGCCACTGAAGCCCCAATAGACCAAAATAGAAGGAATACTTACAATCGCAGTCGACGGGATGACGCCCTTTGAGTCAAGACATCATACTATACATGATGCAAAGCATCTAATATGTCGATGGGGAAGTACATGTATGTAGGTCCATTCTAATCTTACCTCAGGTACCTAGGCACCTTACTGCTGCAACAAGATACATGTAGTCTCCAACTCCAAGTCGCCGAGCTCACCGCATCTCCCATGCTCCATCAGCCAGTATTACTCTCCCTTCCCCGCGACCATGAAATCTCACTTATCCGATTTTCACACACATATACTCGAACTGCACTTTGCCTTTGCTACCCAGACTAGAATATAGCATCTCAAAAACACTATAACTACGCATACATAGTATATACGAAAGTGCATAATAGTACATACTCCTCCCTCTCACATACCTACCGCATCGCCATCTCACCCCATCAAACCCACAAATCCCCAGCCAAACGACACCGACAGCCTCCTCCTCCTCCTCCTCCCCCCCCCAATCCCACGTCAAGGACACGTACATACATACATACATACATACATACCTGTACATACGCTAGATTCGGCCCACGCATGTAAGCACCGCAAAAAGGTGAACAGCAAATCTACCTTACCCTTACCTATGTAACGCGGTGGATATCCATCTCTATCCGCCCATCCGCGTCTCGCTATCGGCGAATACTAGCATAATAGATCAAGTAGACTCGCCATGATAAATAAGACAAGAAAGAGAGGGCAGTAATCATTTGGAAGGGGGGAGGAGAAACGATGACGGTATTCGAGGCTCGAGCAAAAGACGAACTGAACCGAAAAACAGCTCATACGTAACCCGACAAAGTATCGCAACATCAAGATACCTTACCTTACCTTACCTTACCTTACCATCACAGCTACAAACAAACAAGGTCAAATGTCCATACACACTTTGTCCTGCCAGTCCAAATGCTACCTTGGCTACCAAGAAGCTCGAAGCTCCTCTCACCCTTTTCCCCCTCCACTCTGCTCTCGACAGCTACCCCATGTCACCCACCCACTCCCACTTCACCCACATCACCCACACCCTCCCATAGTAGTACTATGTAGCTACACCAAGCTGATGTATGTAGCAGCAGCAGCAGCAGCAGCACACGTCACATTCTACTCAAGCACTCAAAAGCAAGGAAAAAAGGTCAAGCTGCAGACAGATCAAAATCTGTTCCACTTCATTCATTTTCTACACCCCCCAGGTAAACCGCATCGCTCGCTATCTAATGCATCTTTTTCTCCCTTTCCCATCACATCCTCTCCTCAAAGAGACCCTCTCTATACTAGTTATTATGCTTTTTCTTGTTTCTTCATCACCCCCCCCCCCCCCCCCCCCTTCCTGCATATGCACCAAGGTCCCAATGACATCTCCTGATATATCCTTCCATCATCTCCTTCTTTTCTAGTAGTCGTCCAAATCCCAGCTAATCAATAACGCTCAAGCTAGTCCAGTCTGACGTACGGCGCAAGTGCCCATATGACCAGCTTAGACAGGAGCCGTCCCGAAACCGGGAAGTGCTTGAAGGAGCGTAGTAGTAGCAGAAAAAAAAAAGCAAAAAACTCCGAGGGTGCTATGCAAGTCCCATTTCCCCGCCCCAGATGATGATTGGGGTGTATGTGTATGTATGTATGTGTGTGTGGTTGTTGTCTCTTTTTTAGTGTACTGTATGTGCGTCTCGTGTCGTGTCGTGGCCGTCTCAAAAAGAAGACGAGCGGGAAAAAAACAGAATTATGCACGCTTTTCTTTCTTTTTTTCTCTCTCCCCAAATCATGAGCAAACGCCGACCCCGCTTATCTACAGGTGGGTGTTGTGGTCTATGTAACATGATGAAAAGAGCATGTCGAGAAAGCAAGCGTGACGAAAGATGGGTGTCTCCATGCCCTCTGCCTTTTGCCCGCCCGCCTAGGTTGACTGACAGGCGAGGCAATGGCATGCGTAACATGGAGAGAAAGCCCATCTCTGCGGTGGTGTGTCGGAAGGAGTGACTAGAGTCGGGTATCATTTCGTTCGAATTAAGCAATAGGTCGTTAAAAAGTAGTTGTTTCGCATGAGACAGTGTTTTTGCCGGCGCTGCAATGTTCTATTGGTGGGATGGTCGTCAAGTCATGGGTCAATATATCGAAAGAAAAAAAAACCCCCGGTCTTGTCCGGAAAATGCGTCGATATCCAGAGCCGGAGTAACGTTGAAAAAGAATCCAGAAAGGAGTAGAATGTAAATGAGAAGGAGAAAAAAATGATAAGAAGAAAATCAGAGGCGAAGCTTTTCCGCAAGGTTCCTCCAGAACCGCGGCGTCTTCTCCTCGCTTCGGGCTCGCACCATGTAGGCATCCCGCTGCATGGGCCCGACAATGTCCTCGTCGCCGCGGCCGGGGAACTTGCCCTCGGCGTCCAGGGCCTCGAGCATCTGGGGCACCGCGCTGGGGCGGCATCCCCTCCGGCCGCGCCACTGCATGGCCGCGTAGATGTCGTCGTGGCCGTTGTGGCTCTGGCTCTGGGTATGGGTCTGGCCCTGGCCGGCGGGATGGGCGCTCGAGGAACGGCCTCGCCCGCGGCCTCGGCTGCGGCTGCGCGAGTTGGCGGAGCCCGAGATGAGGGGCTGGGTGCGGCGGACAATGTCCGTGTAGTGAAGCTTCCACTTGCGCTCAATCTCGGCCCATTTGGCCTCGGTCAGGCCGTACGTCTTGCTCGTCTGGCCGTAGTGCTCGCCGGTGCGGACCAGGTGCTTGGTGTAGGCGACGCGGGCGGCGTCCCAGTCGTCGCAGAACTTGGTGACGGACTCGGCGGTGATCTCGTCGACGGCGTAGGGCATGGGGGTGATTGTGAAGTTGGCGTGGCCCAGGCGGTCGGACCACTCGTCCTGGTCCTGCAGGATGGAGGGCGGCAGCGGCAGCGGCAGCTCGGCCAGGACGGAGACGTGGCGGAGGGAGGAGACGGACGGCTTGGAGGCGAGGGACTGCCGCGGGGTCGGGACAGCAGGGCGAGGCGAGTGGAGCTCCGTGACGGCCGACGACGGCGCGATGCTGGGCGACTGGAGGGGGGACGAGGGCTGCGAGGGCTGCGGAGGCTTGCCGAGCGGGTCGGTCAGGAGCGGAGGCAGCAGGGGGGTCGTGGCCATGGCCCTGTCGCGCTCGATGCCTGACCGCTCCTCGCGGCTCAACTCGCCCGCGTGCATGTCCAGGCTGTCGGTGCTGGCGTAGCCGTCGTAGAGCGGCATGGCCGGCGGGGGCATGGGGGGCGCGTCGTCGAGCAGGACGGGGAACTGGCGGGTGGGCGACGACATGGACGACGACCGGCTGGACGCGGCGCCGGACAGCACGTTTTCCAGGCTGCGCTCCGTGGTGGGCGACGTCATGAGGCCGGTGATGCTGTTTGCCTTGCGCTGGGACTTCCAGCGCGCGATGCTGGGGAAGCGGTGGCCGATGCGGGACGTCAGGGCGCCAAACGTCGACTCGCCGCCCATGAGGCGCTTCTTCTTGGACGACTGGGCATCGCCCGAGAAGTCGCTGTCGCTGAGGAAGCCGAGATCGTAGTCAATGTCGAACTCGCCGGTTGTGTCGCCATGCAGCAGCTCCTGGGAGGTGTTGAGGTGCTCGCACGCCTGGTCGCCTGCACAAGAAAAAAAAAAGAATAACATCAAGTCAGCCATTGAACTCCTGAAACCACCAGCTTGAAGCCCCTTTCGTCGTCTTCTTTTTCCCGTCAGATGACCACTTACAAAGACAGTACATGCCAAGGTTATCGCTCAAGTCATCGTCGTAGTCTTCCTCCTCCTCCTCCAGCTCCTCCTCTCCCTCCTCCTCCTCATATTCCCCCTCGCGCTCACGCTCGTCCTCCCGCTCTTGCGGCTCCTCCTGCACGTCCGGCAGCTGGCGAATGCTCGACTTGGACGCAGCAGCCAGCTGGGCAATGGGCGAGGCCGGGCCCTCCTGAGGCGGCAGCTCCAGGGACGAGGTCGAGCTGGAGTAGCGCAGGGGCACGCCGCGGTTGGAAAAGGTGGGCGTCAGGGGCGAGGCAACGTCCGAGGAGGAGGAGTTTGTGGTGTAGTAGACATAGCTCAGGTCGCAGGGCTCGAGGCTGACGCCCTCGTCCATGGGAGTGCCGCTCTTGCGATCCTGCACCACCTGCGGCAGCAGCAGTTCTCTCAGCTGGGGCGACATGCCTCCCTCCCGCAGCGGCGAGGTCGAGGATGTCGGATGCGTCGCCGTTGCTGCTCGCGTGTGCTGTATGTACAGACGGGGATGGTGTTATATCGGAGAGACGGGGATATGTATGTGTGCGGGATCTGGCGCTGCGTGGTGGGATGTGTGTTTTTTTTTTCCGCTGTGCGCGAGAGCACCGAGTACCGGAGCCGTGTGTCGAGCGTGTAGCGGTACTTGTTCGAGAGGGCGAGTTGGTAGTAGGTGGTAAGGTAAGGTAGGTAAATACTTGTATGGCGACGGGGTCAGGGTCGATAGATAGAGTGTCGTCAACGCCAATGGCTCTCTCGCGGGGCTGCAAAGGGAAAATTACGGCTTGCTCGATGGTGTTTCTGACGTCTCGAGCACTTGGAGCAAAAGGCGAGGAGCAGCGCAGGCTTACAGAAGGCGGGAAGCAGCACGTAGAAAAAGAGTCACGGATGGAAAAGACGACGAGTGGAGCCGACGATTTTGCCTGTGTGGCCGCAAGGCTAAAAGGTCCTTGATGAGGTGGTGCTCCGGCCTGGCCCAGGCGTGTGGTAGCAGCAGCAGCAGCAGCAGCAGAGCGCTGGAGCACTGGAGCACTGGAGCAACTGGGGGGGGAGGGCTCCACCGGCAGGGGGCAGGCCAGGCCGTCCAGTTGGCCCCGGCCGGCACCTTTTTAGCACCCTGGGAGCGCTACGGAGGTAACTTGGAGTTGAGGTACTTGAGTACTTGTGTACAAGCAGTACAAGGCGCAAAGTACCCGGCCTCTGGGCTGCTGGTAGGCGACATTAGCGTCTGGTGGGTGGGTAGCACTGGACTCAACTGGACTGGCTGGCTCTCAACTTGCTCTGGCTTTCAGGTTCTGCTCGGGCCTTGCTTTTGCTTCCATTTGATCAATTGGGACCCAACGGTACGTACCCTCTTTGTATCCTCGACTCTCAACCTCTTGTGATGCCTCCCCCCCAGTTGCTGCTCCTCCGGCCTCCTCAGGTTCCCCTCAGGTCTCCCCTCAAGGGCCCCCGTGTTGGTGGTACATGTACCCTTTAGGTCTCAACTTCAGGTTGGTTCTGTGCCTTTCTTTGGCTTCCAGGCCGTCTCGACTTGTTCCCCAGCAGTTTCCTCCGTTGGCCGAGGGCTGCCATATGCTCTCTGTGCGTCTGTCGTTGTGCTCCTATCGCTCCCTCGTCTTCATCTATTTCAGGCGCGCGATGGCAACATTCGATGGCGTGTATCTGCACAGCCTGAAACTGGGCCGGCAAACGACACGACACGATATGAGGAAACCTTGAAGGACACACCGGTCTTGTCCCCCTTGGGTGCCCAGTACGGAGCAATTGGGTAGAATCGAACCGTAGCACAAAGACACTCGGACACCAAATGACTGCCAGCTACTTGGGTTGCTTGTCTCTTGCTCTGTCTGCCTGTCTGCCCGTGTCTAACATCTCCCCTCTCCCCATGTTGCCCACAAGTACTTACACGCGCAGCTACCGGCGGTCTGCGTACCACGGACCCGGAAGCACTGCCAGCGAAGACGTGGCGGGGCTGTACCGAGTACCCCGACGCCATGTCCCCTTCTCGGCGTTTTGATGGCTGGCAGCCTCGAGTCTGTCAGCCTACATACCTGGTTCTATTTTTCACTGTGTGTCGGTAGTGGCGAAGGAAAAGAAAATTCAGCAAGCACGGCATGGGTGGTGAGTTGGGCAGCGCGGCTGATTACCAACCTAACGATGTTGTATTGTTCGAGTCAACAGCTGGAAATAGCATCCGATGCAAGAGACCCGACGAGAGAGAAGAGGCAAACCCACTGCCAATAGCCATATGCTAAGAAAAGAAGCATCTCACGAACATACAGTACAATGTTCGACTTAAGCGCCCTACCTTGGATGTTCGTTTCTTTCTATCACTACCTAGTGAAAAATACATCCAGAAGTGTGCTGGATAGCGTATTTTTGTGTCTGTTTGTTGATGCCCGTCCATATTGTTTGCCCGTCTGCTGGCTGCATGTACATACGGGCGTTTGTTGTCAACGGGGTCGTTATGCGCGCGCGTGGGCAAGCACATCCAATGGTGGATGTACAGGTGCATTCATGTACAGATACGATGCACTTAGAGCGGCTGTTTTAGCGAGCACGGCGCTGGAGCGTGCTGTAAGTCATTGGAACATTGGTACATGTATCAGGTGAACATGAAGTCGTCACCACTTTGTCGGTACTTCACGTTCTTGTAATAGGTAGACTTCATGTTCCGTCGTCGTCGTCGACATCGCGCTCATGCAGTCCATCGACGCCCATGCTCGCATCAATCAAACATCGACGTCAAGCCTCTGCACCGCATCAGCCGTGGGCGATCAGTCCATTCCGCTGAAACTTGATTCCGATGCTGTCTTGATGGCCCCTCATCTGCCCGCCATTCGATCCGTCATCCATCACCGCTCTTCTCCTCTTTTCTCCCTCCGTTCAATGTCTCGTCATCCATCATCCCACTGCCTCCACCGAAAAGAAGGCCAGCAGACTCCAGCTCAGCAAGATATCACCTGAATTCACCCAAGAGGTCGGACAACAACAACAGCAGCCAAGCCCCTTGCTCTCTCCGTCTCTCTGGCTCCCATCATCACCTCTCTCTCTCTCTCTCTTATCCTCTCTGGCCCCGTCCACGTGTTTGCCGCGCTCGACATTGGGGGCTGGGGAAACCCGGTGTGATGCGCGCTGCTTTGTGGCCTCCTCTGGCGATGCACATGCAGGCCTGATGCAGCTGCAGCTTCAACAGCGCATATGCAGCCCGTCCAGCCTCTCTCTTTCCTCTCTGCCCTCTCCATCACCCTCTCTGCTCTGCCTCTTTGCCTCTCGCCGTCTGCGCTGCTCTCCCCACCCGCTTCTGTCCTCCCCCCCGGTCACGGTGATGGAATAGCCGCCTATGTTCCTCGGTTTCTTTTTCCCTCCCTCATATGCCTATCCCATCGTTTGAGCATTTCCTCTGGCGCCCTCTAGTAGTACTGGCTCTGGACTGTCCTCGTCTGGATCCAATATCCAAGCATGCTCACCCTTGTCCAAAAGCCCAAAGAGATGCGTAATCCGGCCTCGCTTCGTGACGGTCACCCTCCTCTTCTCACTGCCCCGAGGCTGGGGCGGCGCCAGCAAAGCACCGCCTGAAGCACAATGTATTAAAGCTCACACAAGAGACAGCACGACCCAGCGGCAATAAGGGCCGGACCGCTGGGAAGCGAGACGCCAGCACTGACACGGCCACTGACAACCAGCCCAGCCGTGGCCAGACGACGGAACCTGTGACCATGCCGAGGAGGGGCGGACGTTGAACCACTGGGCGCGCCAGAGCCTCCCAGTCCGTGATGCGCCGCACGTGAGGGCCGGGATGGTCAGAGGGCCATCTGACGTGGTGCGAATGCAACCAAGGCTGCGTTTGGCTGGCGATCCCTGCCGCTCCCTATCGGCGAGGCCATCGCGGCCGTACTGGACGCTTGTATGCTTGTAATACTAGTACTATGCTTTGATTTGCTCAGATTCAACATCTCTGTGTCATCCATTGTGTCCTACAGGTACATACATACGATACATACCTACATACCTACACCGTCATCCACTTACAAGATGATCCATCATTACAATTGGAAGTGCATCATATCATATCATATCACACGCTGCTTGCGCGGGCAAGGCCTCCGGATGCAAGTACACACAAGCACAAGTACATACAGCAAGACATGCATCGCTCACATTGATCCATCAATGTCACACATGGCGCCAAACCTCGCCAGCAACAACGCAACTTGCTTGTCCGTGTACAGGATTCCCTCTGTCCTAGTGACACCACGACCGCGGCTCCCCTCCCTTTCCCTTTCACCCCCGGTCCCTCAGAAGCGCCCCTCGAACATCGCCCACCGCCTCGTCTGCCAGCAAAGCGAAAGGCGCAGAAACGAAAAAGAAAAAAAAAAAAGAGCAGAAAAAAAAAATATGGGACAACGGAGTCGCCAGCAAAGGCAGTCATCCAGCGCAAGCAGAATCCTGAGCCCTGGGGAAACTCGGGGACCAGCAGCGGAAGGCTCCTCCGTCTCGCCTAGACCCATCTCTGGACGCTTTTCGGCATTAGTAGAGCCAAACCCGGTGGCATGGGCAATAGCATGGACATGGACATGGCATGGGCACAAGTTCACGGCAAGGGCCGGTGCTGGGCATGGCCTGGAGCCGGCATCGCTCGCTCTTCAGGTGACGAGCAGCCATGGTCCCCCCCCCCCCCCCCCCCCCCATACGACCATGAGCGGGCTCCCTTGCGCCTATCACGGGCGATGGGCCAGGCAGTAATAGCACATACGAGCACTCGGCAACATTGATATTAGTGCGAGTATCGCATACTGCACATACCTCGGCCTTTTACGTGTAAGTGGCACTCTCCCTCTCCAACAGCCAGCGTCAACGTGTTCCCTCCAGACAACGCCGAAAGCAAGAGAGAAGCAGCGGTGACATGCCAACAGACGGGGCCCCGTATTACTTACTACTACTAAGGTATGTACATACATACGCCTGCTGCCCGTCGCCCGTTCAAGCCTCTCGATCCAGCCCCAGCACGGAAAGTCTCAAGAGCAATTGGATCGAGCTTCGACTTTTCCGCTGCGATTTGTTCGTGGCTCTATGCCGCTTCCAGGCCTAGCGCCACGCTCTGGATGCGAAGCCTCTCTTACCCGGACGCACGTCTGGCACACCGGCTCTGTCTTGGTGATGCACAAGAGGCACCGCTACTACGTACTACTACTAGCAATCCCGACTTTTGGCTGCGGGCTGGGAAACTTGTACACGTCTACTACCTTTTTGATGACCCCGGCAAAAGACTAAATTGAAGGCTTGAGAAGACGCAAGAAGAGCTCCAAAAAAAACCTTGAAGGAAGGGCTCCAAAGAAGCGGGATGACAAGGGTTGTGAGAACTGGCTCCGCCGCCCCGATGCCAACGCAATTGGGGCCGATTTTGACTGTCACTCATGCCTCTGC